TTTGGATTATGTTGACTCTATACATCAAATTGAGAATTATCTTAATATTTAAGTCTTCCAACTCATAAGGATAGTGGGTTTTTTCCACTTATTTAGGTTTCCTTTTTTTGAACATGTTTATAGTTTTCAACGCACATTATACATTCTTCTGTTACGTTTACTTCCAAGTATTTTATCCTTTTTGATGTTATTATCAATGGAACTTTTCCCCTCCCTTCCTTTTTTCCTTTGTATGTGTGTGTATGTAGATGTTACTATCCCTTAGCTTTTTCGTTCAAGGATGGCACTCTACCACTTGAGTCACACCTCCACTTTCAGCTTTTTGCTGGTTAATTGAAGAGTCTTACAGACTTGCCTGCTGGAGCTTGCTCCAAATGGCAATCTTCAAATCTCCTCCTGATTTTCTTAATGAAATTAAGATCTTATTTATAGTATACAGAAATGTAATGAATTTTATGAATATTTTATTAGTATACATTTGTTGTACAAAGTGGTTTCATTATGGTATTTCCATATATGCATACAACATATCCCAAACTCACCACCCTGCACTTTCCCTCATCCCCTCTTCTGAAAACAATTACAACAGGTGTCATTCCACATTACCCTTATACATGTTCCCCATTAGCCCTCCCTCTTCCTATTTCTCCCTCCAAAACTCCTTGCTGTCATTTTAAGACTATATTAAGAGTATTAAGGAGTTTCATGATGGTACTTCACATGTGCATATCTTTTAGTCTCATTAAATTCTTCTATTGCTCTTTCCCCCTATTGTATAAATTCTCAATAGGTTTTGTTATGCCAACTTTAAATATAATGCATTTTGATATTACTCAAATCCCATTATTCTTTCCTTTCTCCTCCCTCCATACCCACAATTATAACCATATAGTCTATATGGTTATATAATCATGTAAAATGTTATTGATCACACAATTATACATATATATTTCATGATATATTACATGATATAATATATTGTAATATAATATGTATTGTGTAATATGTATCATGTAATGTATAATTATATATAATACATAAGTATGATGTATGTATAAATAGGTATTTCTATCTTGAATTCCTTTCATATCCTACATTTTCTTATGTCTTTCAGCCATTTATTTGTACTCTTAGAGCTCATTCAGCTGTTTATTTGTATCTTCCTTTTCATTCATTCAGGTTTTGATGCACGTCCTCTTTAATTTCATTTTGGTAACCATGCTTTCGAGTTTTTTGGGCTTTCTTCCTATTCACTGTCCTTGGTGTCTCTTCCTGTTGATGTGTTGGAAGTCTCATGATACTTTGTTTTTCCTATTTCTTTTGTTTCTGCTTTGAGATCTGAGGCCAAGTCAATGGCTGGGAGTTTGAATCTCTGCAGTCTGGCAAGTGAAGTCTTCTCAATGCCCAGGCAGGACTGTAGTGGGAGGATTCAGTGGAGCTTCTCACCACTGGCCTGGGGGTAGCTCGGTCACATCCTTTTGCCCATGTGTGCTGAAGTCTCTAGTCTGTCCTTGTATAAGGCTTATATGTGAGCAGAGGGCAGAGCTGGTAAAGTCACCTGCCCACTTCTGAGTGGCTTCACTGTAGAATTCCCTTTTGTGTCCTGGAAGCCACAGCTAACTGCACAATATTTTTCAGTTTATGGGCTGGTAAGGTTCACAAATGCTACACACATTCCTCATTTGTACCCCAAGGGCAAGACCCACACAACTCTTGGGGTGTGCCAGCGCCTCTTAAAGTGCGAGGAAGAAACAGCACAGTACTCTTGCCCAGTGATGGAGGACTGACAGACGCAGGTGCTCAGCCTGGCACTCTCAGGTCTCTCACACTCCACCCAGAGGTCTGTTGCCCTGTGGCAGGATGCTGAGGGTTGCTACATGATCCCCAAGTTCTGTGCTTGGAGTTCTCGGCCCTGCCTGGTAGCAAGCCCCCAGTCAGAAGATAGCTCCTGGCTGCTGAGCATTGCCAGTCATTAGCTTCATGCTGTTTCTGTGACAATCCTCAGAAAAGAGGACTTTCTTGACAGAGAGAGTAGTTCTGTTACCGTGCCTGTCACTGCCTGAGCCCTCAGTGAGTCCACACCTGGCCCTCTCCTTCTCCTCAGCTCTTTCTCAGGCCTGGCTACCCTGACCCTGGGGCAGGGTACCTCAAGACTACTGAGCCACAGTTGTTCTTTGGTTTGAAGTACCCAGAGTAACTGTTGCTGGCAGGCAGTTCTTGGAGCTGTTACATTCCTGCTGCTATGGGCGTGGTGCTGTGCTTCTGCTATGCTCTAGCTGGGGAGGCCAGGCCACTAACCGCTGCCCAAACTCCTGGCTGCCAATTCCTGGGAAGGCCTACATCCAGCCATCCTTCAACAGGATCTCACACAGCTGTTTTCCTCCTAGATACTGTGGCTTTGCATCTCAAGACCCCCTGAGCTAAGATTGCTGTTATGTTAAGGTCCGAAGAATAGTTGGGTGGCAAATCCTTACAGCCAAGCAAGCAGCTCCCGGAGCGGGGGTATTCCACCAGCTGTGGGCTCAATGCTGCTTCTACAGGGACCTTTAAGTGTGAAGACTTGCTTTAGCCAGTGCGGCTGCTCATCACTGCCCATGCCCTTAGTTGCTTAAATTTCTCCCCAGGCCCACAGCAGACCCACTGCACTCATGACCATCTTCCTCCTAAACAGTCTCAACAGATGTCCCTAATCTGTGATTGCTTGTTATGTTCATGTCTCTAGATAGTTGAGTCTCTTAACTCCGCCAAGAGTAAACAACAGAACAAGGTAGAAGCAGCTGTGTATTTCAGGGCTCAGGGCAGGAATCAGTATGCTGCCACCACCACCGTATAATCTTGGCTACCAAGACTGAGCTGGATACAATGTTTGAAGGGACAATACAATGATGTGAAACAGGGCCAGGGATGTTTGGGTTATCTACAAACTGGCTTCCATTTCCATGGCCATGGATTGCAACAAGTGCAGCAAGCAGTAGGACTCACAGTAACAGAATTGCAAGTAACTTAGGTTTTCATTCCTTGGAAAGGTTGTAATAAAAGTGTGATAGAATACCAAAGAACTTTGAAGGCAGAAGGAACAAAAAGTAATAAACAGAAAGACTTACATCACAATGAAACTATATCTCAAAAGTTAGGGAACAATTCAGATGCCTAATAATTGATGAATGGATCAGGAAAGGGTGTGTGTGTGTGTGTGTGTGTGTGTGTGTGTGTGTGTGTGTGTGTGTGTGTGTGTGTGTGTGTGTGTGTGTGTGTGTGTGTGTGTGTGTGTGTGTGTGTGTGTGTGTGTGTGTGTGTGTGCGCGCGCATGCATGCGTGCATGTGTGTGTGTGTGTGTGTGTTTCAGACTTAGAAAAGTGTAGGCTGGCTGATCCTCTAGATTTCAGGCTCTTGAGTAGTTAGGGTTATATGGGTGAGCCACCAGTTCCTGCTTAGAGTATGGTTTTATCTTAAAGGTTTTACTGAGAATAAGCCCAACCACTGGAAGTATGAGTGAAGTATGAGTGTACAGAATTATTTATGACAGGCAATCCACATATACAGATTATTGATTGTCACCTAGTTGCCACCTTTTGGGGACATTGCACACTACACTTAATTGCTTCTGTTGCTGAGTTACAACAATGAGGACACTGGTCCAAAGTAGCTGATATTTACCAAGCATTCTCCCCAATCTTATTTAAGTATTCATTTATTTTAGTTTTCTGGGAACAGAATCTCACAACCTTGCTGCCTCATAATACTGGATTACTTGCTTCTGCCACCAGGCTTATTTATTTTAACAACGGAATTATAAAAATGAAATTATTACTATTGGAAAATTGTTCTTGTACATAGGAACTTGAAGATCTACTCATTTGTGAATCTGTCACATACAAAGCATGTGATCAAAGTCCAACGTATCATCTAATATAAAATTACACATATGCCAAAAAACTGTTAGGAAGAATCCCATGCAACATCTGGCAACTCAATAAAAACAAAACCAGTCACTCACAATGCCACCTTGTTCTCTGCTCCACATGGCTGTTTGATCAAGTACCAGCCCCCTTAAGGCACACATGCAATATTTGCTTAACAGAAGCATACATATTTATATAACAACAGATGACTTGCCTAAAGTCTTCACAAACAATCTAGAGATTCTGGAAAATATTCTTGGCTTAAAAAAGAGGAATATTTTCCTGAAAACTTTCTTATTCTCCCTTTTCTATTCAAAGCCAGTGGCTCACACCTGTAATACTAGCTACTGAGGAGGCTGAGATCTGAGGATGGCAGTCTGAAATCAGTTATGGCAAGGAAGTCAGTGAGACTCTTACCTACAATTAACCACCAAAAAGCCAGAAATGATCAAGCAAAAAAGTTTAGAGACAGTGCCTAGGCCCTGAGTTCGAGCTCTAGGACCCATACACAGACAACACAGAGACAGACAGACACACACACCCACACCCACACATGCTTGTGTGCATATTCATGCAGTTGACATTATCTAAGGCTGGCCCAGTTCCTGAGGCTGAAGATCAAGTTTGTCTTGCTCACTAATAATTTCCCAACATCCAGCAATGGGCACAATAGGCATTAAATTATATTCCTGTCTTCTTTTCTGCCATACTGGAGATTGAACTCAGGGCCCCATACTTGCTCTGTAGGCACTCTACCACTTGAACCATGACTTAGGCCTTTTGCCTTTATTTTCTAATAGTTTCTCATTTTTGCTTAGAGCTGTATTCAGACTGTGGACTATTTGCATACAAACAGGTACTTCTCATATCAAAACAAAATCATAAAAATGTGAAATAAATGAAATAAGAGAAGAAAACCTATAGAAGTTTACTGCTAGCTTCCTGAGGCTCTGACCTGACTGGCTTTTACCACCCAGCCCAGTGCCCTCTGAACCACACTCCATGTGTTGTTCCTTTAGGACTCTAAAAATTAAATTTCAATTAATTCACTTTTCAGAAGAATGAATTTTCAGGTTAAGAAAAAAGTTAAAAAAAAAACTGGTTTGTAAAAGTCTTTTATTGTATCCGTGCCACACATAGTAGTGAAAAATAACACTCCTAAAAAAAGAATGCTACCTTTTCCACAACATTTTATTTTAAATAAAACTTCAAGTACTCTTACATCAGTACAAAAAAAGTCTGATCTATTGTCCTCCAACAGGCCACCACAAGACACAGTAGATAAAACACAGTGGCTACAAATGTCTTTTACATTTATTTTTGAGGCAAGTCAATGGGAGGGAGAAGTCTCCATGAAAAATACTGTGTGTGTAGGAAGTTGTCACGATCTGGTTCCACATGGATACAAATGATTATACTTCAATTTCCACCCTGGTGGCTTAAAATTATATAACAAAATAGAAACATGGAAAATTACTATCCCCTACACCCTGTTTCAAAGGCAGGCACTACCAAGATTAGGGAGACGCCACAGTGTTGGTAGAGGATAATTACTGTACAAGCCGGAGAGCTGTAATTACCTTCAGACTAAAATAAAATGCTACAACCCTTCTAAGGCATAAACAATAATGTCTCCAAACAATATATACACATAATATATATTTAAAACAAGACAATATAAACAATAATGAACATTATATACATGTCATTCTTTTCACTGTCTTGAAATACAATTTAACTACACAAGTGACTCAGCAACATATATATGTATATATATATGTATATATATAAATGTACTTGTAATTCTACAGTAAAGTTAATTTTTGGTGCTTTAATAGCACATCAGTGTAAACAGTTTAACTTGGCTTTGTTTTATATTTTAAAACATTCCTTGTTGTATTTTCAAGATTTAAAGCAATTTTTTTTCTAGTTCTTCCTTTTCACAGAAAACGAAGATTCTGGATGTGGTTTAATCATAAATAATTCATAAAATTAAATACATTCACTAAAAAATAAACTACAAAGTAAAAAAAGGAAAAATAGATATTTATTGAGAGGGAAAGGAGAATCATTTCCCACATTAGAGCTCTGGTGTTGGATATTCAGTGCGGTTTGATATATTTTAATTGCTATTGCACTCTAACACCCTTTCCTTGGAAAATTCTTTGGGTGTGCTTCCCTGTTCTACCTAAATCAGCTGATAAATCACACGAACCAAAAACCCAGGGTCTTGGTTGTTGTAGGAGTGAAGCCTTTAAAAATGGTATCATTCTTCTGATACTTTTTTTGATACATATTTTAAGGAAAAGAAGTCATTAGATATGTGCCTTGCACATTTATGTAAAAATAGTTCACATTGCTGGTCTTATTTGTCCTTGTGTAAGGGAAAAAGAAGGGAGAGGTTATAAATTCAGCTCACTTTGAAAGTATCTGTCCATTTTTTTTCAAAATATTTCCTCATACTGTGGCCAGCTCTGCCTATATCAGAATCATCTTCATTAAATGTTTCACAGTTGTCAAAAACAAGCCTGACATCTAGAGCAAAGGCTTCAAGGTTTGGATACCTGAAAGGAAACATATAATTAGAGATTGATTTCACTGGTTTGGTTTTTGTAAACCAATAAGTAGTATTATAAAGTAAAATAAAAAGTGAAAAAGAAAAGAACAATTAGAAAAGCTGTATAAGAATGGATATAAAATTTTGTGACTGGAACATTAAAAAAAATTTGTTTGATCTAGTCCAAATTAGATTTGAAGACATATTAAATAGAAAATCATTTCTCTGAAGACTGGATTTCCCAGCCAGGAGTGATGGGTGGGATGTACTTGTAATCCCAGCACTTTGGAGGCAGATTTAGGAGGAGTGAAAATTTGATGCCAGTCGGAGCTATATAAATCCATCCTGACAAAGAAAGAGAAAAAGAGAGAAAGGGAGAGAGAAATAAACAAAGAAAGGAAGAAATGAAGAAGGGAGAAATGAAGAAAAGAAAGAGAAAGAGAGAGAGAGAGAGGGAGAGAGAAAGAGAGAGAAGAGCAAAAGCAAAAATCAAATGTAGTTTTTCAATTATCTGGAATTTCCTATATCCCAGGTCCTGTTTGACCTGTTCACAATTGTTTTACAGGACAATCTGACACCAGTTTATTGAACCCTCTCACCCACAACGTCGCTTATATACTCTATCAATCTCATTCAATAGTGCCCAATTATAGTCAAAGTAATGATACTTCTGTATCCTTTACAAATATTCCAGGATATGCCATTGTGCTAAACTTTCAAGACAGTAGTATTAACTGATGGAAATTATTTACTTACTGTCCATTACTTAGTTTATCTCTAATTGTGGAAAAATCCATGGGCTTTTTGATAACTTTCTTATAACCAGGAACAAGTTTCAAGTTTACAGGAAGTAAGAAAGGCCATGCATCCTCATGAGTCTCCATTTCTGTCAGGATCATACTAAAGAGAAAAATATCAGAAATCAGCTCCTATACTTTAGAAATCTATTTTCATTAAAAATTAACTTTCTATTATAACCTTTCATGTAAAAATTCAATAAATATTTATTAAAAAGACAAAGGCATGTTTTGTTTACATTTTATATATATTTGCAGGGCACTGGTGGCTCATGCCTGTAATCCTAGCTACTCAAGAGGCTGAGATCTGAGGATCATGGTTCAAAGCCAGCCTGCGCAGGAAAGTCTGTGAGACTTTTTTTTTCTTTTTTTTGGTCGGTTGTGGGGCTTGAACTCTGGGCCTGGACGCTGTCCCTCAGCTCTTCAGCTCAAGGCTAGCGCTCTACCACTTGAGCCACAGAGCCACTTCCGGTTTTCTGGTGGTTTATTAGAGATAGGTTTCTCACGGTCTTTCCTGCCTGGGCTGGCTTTGAACCTCGATCCTCAGATCTCAGCCTCCTGCGTAGCTAGGATTACAGGCGTGAGCCACCAGCATCCGGCTTTCCATAAGACTTTTATCTTCAAAAAACCACTCAGAAAACTGAAGTGGCGCTATGGCTCAAGTGGTAGAGCTTGTCTTGAGCTGAAGAGCGCAGGGACAGTACCCAAGCCCAGAGTTCAAGCCCCATGACCAGCCAAAAAAAAAAAAAAAAAAAAAATATATATATATATATATATACATATATTATATTTTTCTACTTATATAAGTTAACAGGAAGTCATCATTAACATGTAAGAGGTTTCTGAATAAATAATGTGGGGTATAATAAATATATAGCACATGAAAATGGAAAACATACCTGCACAGGCCCAGGTCCTTGCTATCATCTCTTTTAGGTTTCTTAACAGAAGTAAAATTTTCTTGTTTTGCTGAGTTAGCAGAAGTGTTTTCCTCTATTTTTCTTTTTTTGAGGTCTTTGTTTCCTCTTTTCAGGGAACTACTGGTAGATGCAGAGTCTTCATCTTCAGTATCCCCTGTTAAAGCTACTTTCTTGCCTTTCTTCAACTCATTGGTCTTTTTTGCTTTGACATGAAGTTTTTTGACTTTTATAGTTTGACCACTTGCCTTTAATTAAAAAAAAAAAGAATTGAGGTGTAAGAGGATAACAGAGTTTAACAGGACAAATAAAAAGCTATTAGCTTGATCTAAAAGACTGATCATTCTTTTAAAGAGAGATCCATGAATTTATTCTCCTGTAATATAAGGGTAACATTTAATAATTAATGAGAATACAATTCATCCTAAGAATTTGTTGTTGTTGGTGGTGGTAGCGAGGCTTGAACTCAGAGCCTGGTTTACTATACCTGAGCTGCTTGCTCACGGCTAGCGCTCTACCAGTTTGAGCCATAGCACCACTTCAGGTTTTTGAGTGGATAATTGGAGATGTAAGTCTCATGAACTTCCTTGACTGGGCTGGCTTTGAACCATAATCTTCAGATCTCAACTTCCTAAGTAGCTAGGATTACAGGCATGAGCCACTGGTGCCCTGTTTAAGAATTTTTTTTTTAAATGTGCCATTCAGGGGCTTGAAGTCTGGGCCTTGTAGTCTTACTTTACTTTTTCACTCAGAGGTGGTGCTCTACAACTTGAGTCATACCTCTATTTTCAGCTTTTTGGTGGCTAATTGCAAATAAAGAGTTTTACCTCCTGGCTTTGAACCATGATCCTCACACGTCAACTTCCTAAATAGCTAGGATTACAGTCATGAGCCACAAGTGCCTGGCTTATTCTAAGAATTTTTAAAATTTGCGCATGCTGACTGACTCACCATTTTGGGTACCACAGAATTTATCACCAGGATCCTTTTAGTTTAGATTACAAACTGAGGTTAAAGATAACCAAAGCCAGGTACTGGTGGCTCCCACCTGTAATCCTAGCTACTCAGGAGGCTGAGATCTGAGGGTGGAGGTTCAAAGCCAGTTGGGCAGGAAAGTCCATGTGACTTTTTTTTTTTTTTTTGGGTCTGGTCATGGGGCCTGAACTCTGGGTCTGGGCGCTGTCCTTCAGCTCTTCAGCTCAAGGCTAGCGCTCTACTGCTAGCCTTCCAGCTAGCGCCACTTCCGGCTTTTTTCTTTTTGCTTACTTGGTGCTGAGGAATTGAACCCAGGGCCTCAGGCATGCAAGGCAAGCACTCTACCACTGGGCCACCTTCCCAACCCATGTATGACTCTTAACTCCAATAAACCACCAGAAAACTGGACGTGGCACTGTGACTCAAGTGGCAGAGTGCTAACCTTGAGCTGAAGAGCTGAGGGACAGTGCCCAGGCCCAGAGTTCAAGCCCCACAACTGACAAAAAAAAACCCAAAAAACAGAAAACAAAAGGATTTATTAGATCACAACAGAGTAAGAATAAGGTGAATATAAACAAAAGTACAGAGCTCATTAGCAGGAAGTTGAAGAAAAAGTCCAGGCCAAAACATAAAGAGTTGAAGTAGTTGGGTACCAGTGGCTCTATTAACCTCCTAGCAACTAGAGAAATTAAGGTCTGAGGATCATGATTTGATGACAGCTTGGGCAAACATATCTTAGAGAATTTTATCTCCAATTAACCAGTAAAAAGCCAGAACTGGAGATGTGGCTTAAGTAGTAGTACAGCACCAGCCCTGAGTAAAAAAGCTGAACGAGAGTGAGAAGCTCTAAGTCTAAGCCCCAGCAATTGTGTACACACACACACACACACACACACACACACACACACACACACACACACACACACACACACACACACACACAGATGCAGAGGCTTAGAATACTATATAAATAGCTGGGTATGGTAAACTCATATCTATAATCCCAGCTTTTTGGGAGAAGAGATCAGGAAGAACAAGGTTTTAGAAAGTTAGCAAAATTCCATCTAACCAATAAACTGGGTGTGGTGATGTATGCTTCTGACCCTTGCTATCTGGGAGGCTTATGTAGAAACATCATGATCCAGGTTAGTCCCAGGCATACTATGGACTCCATCTAAGAAAAGTAACTAAAGCCAAAAAAGAAAATAACAAGAACAACAACAAAAAACTGCATTCACAGAGAAGGGCATGGATATCAAACGTGTCCAAGTTTGTTCTTCGACTAATGCTACCCAGAATTCTAATGTAAGCAAATTTAGTGAAAACAGAACTAATCATGGCCTATTAAGTGGTATCTCCAGGACTTCAAACATTTACTTATTAAGCAATTTATATAGTATATAGTATTAGAGAAACATTTCAAAATTTGGCAATTATAAAGCTAAAAGATAAATGTCTTGCTAGTAAAGATTACTGTTGAAGTATATTTAACTTTATATGACAAAAATGATCAAAAGTAAACTCTCGCATGTGAAGCACATTTTAAATAAAACAATGGCCATATTTCTGCATTTTGATCTGGTAATTAACAACTTAAATCCTTTATAAATCTTACCTTAGCAATGCAAGCTGGACAAAACCAGTCACCATCTGGTATGGTGGTAATCTTGGGTCTGTGGCAGTAGGTATGACAGCCTTTGTCACAGCCGTCACAAAGGAGAAGCAGCTCTTCATTATCTCCTTTCCGACAGATTTGGCAGTACTATAACACATAAAAATCATTCAAAATTAACCCTCTGCTAGGAGCAACAGTTACTGGGATGCTAAGCAGACCATCATTCCTAACTTATATTAATTAGTAATGAACATTCCGCTTGCTAACAAATATGTAATAGCCATACATATCTATGTATCTCTCGTTACACAGATATGGACCACAGGACGGGTGAGCAGTTCTATTGGGGTAGATGCACATTTCAGGTACACTGCAAAGAACAAAGCTAGAGGCTCAATGCCTGCACACACTTTGGAAGCATGTACACATTAACATATGAAATAATTAACATGACATTAGAGCACATAAAGCAATGAATAGCTTTAATACATGGTGTTTTTGTTTTTAAAGAATGTGTTTCATCTTTTGCTTATCTTAGTATCCTTATGATAATCTGAGGAAGAAATAAGAGTTAGAGTCATCTTTAAGATTAAAAATCAGGAAACCTATATTAGTATCATAATTATGTATAATAAGAAAAAGATATTCCCTAAGCTTTGGTTAAATTATCCACCTACAGTTTGTGACTGAATTAAAAATATTTATAAACCAGGAAACTGAAAAAATTACCTAGAAATGAAACTAAGAACATTATTTCCAAGATAAGGAAGCATATAGAATATAATTAAAGAACGTAAGGTCATATTTTTTTTCAAGAACTAAATGTACAATTATTTCTTCTCTATGGAAAAATGTATAATATTATTAAGAACTTTAAATCTGCAAAGAGAATTTTTCCATGCATACATAATCTATCGTTTTACAAAAGGAAAGAAAAGTTAGACAAATAAAAGTATTCCAGATAGCTTTAAAAACTGGTATTAACATTTTTTGCTATTTAATTCATATTCTAGTCAAAATAAGAAATGTCATCCAATAAATATTTAAAAAAATAAAAACACTGAAATTGGTATTCACTTATACTTATTTTATTTTTATACTTATCTATATTAAAAGTTAGGTATTTATGTAATCTTAATAGTTCAAACTTACTTAGTTTAATTCCTATTACAACATTATATATCTTAGTTTAGGGAAAGTGTAACCTATATGCCATAATATATACACCAATCGATGAGAATTTAAGAACCTAATCAATGGTAAATGTACACTATCCAAGTTATCAAGTAAAGAAACATTTATTAAAAATATCTACTATACATGTAGTATGAAAACTGGCATGTATCCAGAACTAAGAACAAACACAGTATAGTTCAAATTCCAACAAAAAGTATTTTATGAACTCTCTCAACACCACACATCATTAAGTACCTTAAGATGGTGTTATTATACCAAATTTGAGTTACATCTTTAAAAGTTCTATTGTCTAACATCTATTGGTAGGATATAATAAAATATCCTAATGATGTTTAAAATGAGACTCATAAAAATTCTGTTTTCTACCACAGATATTAAAAATACTACAAATAAGATCTTTTCCATTTCATGTGTATGATTTAAGAAGAAAAATTTTAAATCATCCAATAGTCTTAAGGGTGACAGATACCAAACTCATAGCCCTATTGAAATGCTCAAAATGACTTAGAACAAATGTATTAATATTTGTCTTTAACTTCTTGCTACCATAGTAAAAAATGAATATTACCCATTTTTACATCAACAAAAATATAAACTATATTGTGGCTAGAGAATTATCTAATGGCAAACTAAAATTTCCCCCTGTCTTGGTGGGTGGGCTTGGTTTCTGCCCAACAGGACATTACTTTATTTTTCATTGTTTATTACTATAAAATTCATTATACACATGCATCCAATGTACTTGATCAACTGTACCTTGGTCATATGACGCTTCCTTTTGATCAACATAATTTTTATAATAAATAGCTATCTTTTTTTTTGTAGTGCTGGAGATTGAACCAACTGGCTCATGTAAGCTAGGCAAGTGTTCTGCCACTGAGTTACACTCTCAGCACACAAGTAAAACATGAGATACTTAAAAAAAAAAAAAAAATCAAGATCTAAAGCCAGGTGCCGGTGGCTCATGCCTGTAATCCTAGCTATTCAGGAGGCTGAGATCTGAGGATCATGGTTCAAAGCCAGCCCGGGCAGGAAAGTCTATGAGACTCTTATCTCCAATTAACTACCAGAAAACCAGAAGTGTCATCATGGGTAAAGTGTTAAGCGCTAGCTTTGAGCTGAAGAGCTTAGGGACTGAGCACAGGCCCAGAGTTCAAGCTCCATGACTGACCAAAATAAATAACTAAATAAATAAAAAAAAATATATATATAGAGAGAGATATCTCTCTCTATATATATATATAGAGAGAGATATCTCTCTCTCTCTATATATATATATCTATATCTATCTAGATGGAGTTAAATGATGATAAATATGTATTAATAACAAAGATCGATAAAGTGGCAAAAACTTAAGGAGTCTTTAGATAGCAACCCTGGGCATTTAGGGAATGCCTATAACTCAAGCATTCAGAAGGTTAAGACAGGAGGAGATTCCAAGTTCAAGGCTAGCCTGAGCTAACAGTGTGACTATTTCAAATATTAAAACAAAATAAAAAACAAAGCAAAGAAAGTAAGAATACTAATATCAAACAAGTTTAGAAACATGGTTTGGGGTTCTGCATTTACGTTTATTAACAAACTATCTCATGATGACATGTTTTGTGGACAAAAAGTCAGTATAATTTTGATGAAAATTACATCATTTTGAATCAGTAAAACCTAAATTTTAACAATTACATTTCTCCAATGTGACCTTATAACTTAATAATAATTTTAGGAGTAATATATTTATTTTTTGGGGGGGTCCAATCGTGGGGCCTGAACTCTGGGCCTGGGTACTGTCCCTCAGCTCTTCAGCTCAAGGCTAGCGCTCTACCACTTGAACCACAATGCCACTTCCAGCTTTTTTCTTTTTGCTTTTGTGGTGCTGAATCAAACCCAGGGCTTCATGCATGCAAGGCAAGTGCTCTACCACTGAGCCACCTTCCCAGCCCATATATTTATATTTATAAGTAGGTATTTTTATATTTAAGACAATACTATGATGAACTGAAAAATGTCTAAAGCTTATAATAAGCTCCAATCTGAACTGAGAAAGACCTAAGTTCAAACATACTATACAATCTACAGATTTGAATTCCAAAGACATAATAATTAAGAAAAACCACAGGAAAAATCAAAGTTATTTTAAAAAGAAAAGGGTAAGTTCTTGAGTAGTCCAAATATAAACTAAGTAAGAAAAGAAGCAAAAAAAAAAGATAAATTATTTAAGGATCTCTGCTTTTCACTGGGGAATGAGCATTTTAAGTAAAGAAACTTGGGCTTTTAGTCATTCATGAAAACAAATCTCAGATGTTTGAATTTTAAAGTGTGTGTGTGTAGTTCAAAAATAAATATTGGGCCAGGCTCCTTCCTGATTGGTGTCTGAGGCCAGCTCTAGAAAAATTAAGATATTGAAAAACAACTAAAAGTAAAAAATGGTACAAAGCTTGCATTTCAAACTCTCGAACAACCAAAATTTAAAAAACCAAGAACGTTAATGTCAAAGTGACTCATGAATATGAACATATTACAGAGACTACTCTATACAGGAGAGAGTAAACAGCAATGCGGGTGTTTTCACATGCTCTAAAAGAAGCACCTTTGGAAATATACAAACTATTTTCATTATTTCACTATTTTCACTAAGTAACATTTTGGTTCCTAGCACAAAACAATGGCTCATTATATAACAATAACTAAATGGGCTTGTACAAAGAAAGTGAAAAATCAGTTTTATTAGTAGACGAGGGACTAGATTGGTCTCTTGCTATCAATCATATCTGATGCAGACATGCAAGTGCAAAAGTCTGAGGTCATATTTTGCATTTACTTCTCTGGTTACTGCCTTTTTTGTATTATGTTGTTTTGTTTAATTTTATTGTAAGGGTGATGTCAGAGAGGTTACAGTTATGTAAATAAGGTAATGGGTACATTTCTTATCTAACATTATTACCCCCTACCTTGTTTTCTCCCACTTTTCCTCCTCTCCTAACTTCCCTCCCTCCCCTCCCCCAACTTGTAAAGTTCATTTCCAACATAGTGTCTTGTGATTATCTCTGATGCATTGGTTCATTCTTTGTCCTTTGTCTCTGGTTACTTCTTAGCATTAAAAGAAAAACTGACAGAAAAGTAAAATGCTTTAGGAATACAATAATATAGCAAGTAATTGTAGCAACTGGAATGTTTACAGAAGTTAAAGGGCCTTTATGGCCTTTAGATTATCAACTATTTATAACAGCAGAATAAAGGAGATAACTTCAGTTAGAACCATAAACAACATTCAAAGAAGCAGAAGCAAAATAATATAATTTAGTAGCTTCCTTCAAAAAGCTCAAGAGAAAAAGGTATTATATTATATGGTTTTTAAGACTTAGAGAAACCCTTAAAAACAGCATATATTATAGTGACAGTAGATAATGTATAATTAAGAAAGATCTGGAGGTTGGAAAAACAGGATAAAGTATATTAGTTATAGTATTTCTTAAATAAAAACACTTACAACTTTCATAATTGATTTTTCCCATGCTATTGATTTCTGTAACTGCTGAATGCACAGAGCTACCTGTGCAGCACTGCGAGCTTCTGATAATGCCCTTCTCCATACCCTGAGCCCTGGAGCAATATCCTCTTCAATTCTGCATTGAAATATAGAAAAATTAAGTAGGTCATGTCTATATTTATGGTTACTAGAATGTGAAACAATCATCACACTGAAAGCCAAGCAATGACAAAAACATGGAACAGCCAGTAAGTATAAAGTTTAAGCAACTAAATTTGATGTAGTGCACAGACTGTGGCTACGTGCCTCAAAGCTTAGTCACAACCAGGTAAATGTAAGATCACTTTGCAAGATTATCAATGCACATAACAAAAAAAAATGTTTTTACAAAGCACCATGCAAATAGCATGATCCATATGGATCACAGACATACAAGAAGATACATAGATAACAGGCAATAGAAAATAGGCTCCAATTAGCAAAGAAGCACAATAATTTTTCAAGTTAATCTCAATAACCTACCCGTCACCATCACCACTAATGGATGGTGCAGGAGCAGGGACAGTAACTGTGCCCACATTATCCAGTTTGATCTGAATGGTGGTACTTAAGGGGCTCTTCAGATACCTTCTTTCAATGTTCCGCTCCAAATCAGCCAGCCTGGTTACAGCTATATCTAGGGGGTTGTCACTCTTCCGTTCTAGTGCATGTGCACTGTTTTCGTCTTCGCCAGTAATTTCTCCATCATGCTCCTTGCACAATTTAGTAAATGACTTATGTTCAAAATATACCAAGTCCTCCCTTTCTGATGCGGGCTCTGGACACATCCAACCCTATATATGAAGAGACTAACGTTATTATGATTTTTTCTTAATATGCCAGATGGGTGAGTTACCTTTACTTAAAATACAGCAGCAGACACCGGCAGATCTCAAAGATCTCTACTAAAGCTTTTACCTTGGGTTTCCTAATAATACATTAAAACAAGAACAAAACAAAAAAAGAGAAATAGTTGTAAGACAAGTTTGAAAAAGAACATTTATCAACTTTTGATGTTAGAACAGGTATAATAAAAATTCAGCGAAGTATTCTAGAAAAATTTTAACTAGCATGGATATTAATTTTATGGGCTTACTTAAAAGGAAATGTGTGTGGTCTGTATCTGACTTTCTATTTTCCCATCTTCCCCTACTCTTCTGTGAGGACTGACATCATTGTCATGCTGGTTGTAAGAGATTTGCATATACTTTTATCTTTGTCTGTGTACCTTTTCCCAGTTCTTCACCTAGTGAAGTCCATTCATCCTGCAGCTCTTATGTTAAAATTCATTTTAGAATGAAAGCATCCCAAGACAAATTCTTCCCCACCTTCCTTTAGGAGGTAAGTCCCTCTATTACAGGCTCTCCTACCACTATGAAATGCTCTAGCGCCTTCTATCTACTTCTAAATCCCCATTCACTTACTATCAACACAATTAGAGCAAATAATGGGAATATATATGTGTGTGCATATATATGTACATATGTACATATATGTACACACACATATATGTACACATAGAATGAATTAATGACCTTATAACTTACCTTCTTCTAATGATCCTCTGGCTCAAAAATCCTTCAAAGATTCCTCAATGTTTTAATAAAGTCCCAATTGTTTTTTGTTTTCTTTTTGGTGTATGTTGTACTTTCTTGGCTGGCATGATACACCACTGAGCTATGCCACCAACCCTATTTTTCACTGGCTATTTTTTTTTTAATGGGGTCTCTCTTCCTGCTGGAGTACAGGCCTAATCTGCCTACTTTAGGCTTCTGTTGTTGCTAGGGTCATAGGCTTGAACCACTGTGTCTAGCTTGCCTTCCTTGAGATGGGAGTCTTACAGACTTTTCTGTCCTATTTAGCTTCATATCATGATTCTCTAATTCTCAACCTTCCATATAGCTTGGGATCACAGGCATGTGCTACTGCATGCAGCTACATGTTAAAAGGGATCTCATGAACTTTTCTACCAGGCTAGTGTCCAACCTCAATCTTAACATTCTTAGCCTCCCAAAAATCTTGGGTTATAAGTGTGAGCCATATTCGATAAGAAGTATACTTATTACTCTGTATGTGACTGTAACCCCTCTGAACATCACCTTGACAATAAAATTTTAAAAAAGGTGTGAGTCCAATCTTATAAGGGAATTCAATATGCCAATCTACCTTTTTTTTCATGTTCCCATTCACATATTCTATGATGTGGTTAAATCCTATGACTTGCTGTTGTACAAACATGATAAGCAAACTCATCTGGTTCTCGGTTCATAAAGTTCCCACTTCCTATTATGGAATTCCCTGGTCTCTGTCAAACCTTTCTCATCCTCTTTCCACCCTGTCTTCTACATGGACTCTTTCCTGATCTCTTCCATATCTCCACCAGAAATTGAGTATTATTGTTCTAAGGCTCATGCATTATGTAACCACCTTTTATTCTATGACACGCTTTCTGAACACAGGAACCACATTTTATCCAATTAAAATAGAATGAACTTAAAAAGTTAGAGATAATCACTTTATTCATATATTAGGACCAAGTCTCTCTCATTATCTCAATAGATATTTATATTTAGAAAGAGAGGCTAGGAAGCCAGACATAGTAGAATAGGAACTGAGACAGGAGGATTATGAGGTTTAGGAGGCCAGGTTAGGCTACATACTGAGACCTCATATAAGAAAGGAAGGGAGAGAGATGGAGAGAAGGAGAGAGGGGGGGGAAAGGGACAAATTCAAAGAAATTAGGTTGTAAGGGAACGAAAGAAGTAAAAAAAAAGGAAGGAGACTGGGATTCAATGGTACCAAGTCCTTGCCTAGCAAGATCTTGGGACATGGTGCTGGGTAGGGGAGAATTATCCATAGTAGACAGAAATGCACAGATCCAAGTCATGTTAAACAAATCTCCTTATATTGTGAAAGGCATATACAATTTTTAACTAAAGAGAATTCTGAAAACATAGTATATCTTGATTTCAAATTAACAGTAACAACAACAGAAAGACTAGATTAGATTGCACTTAGAGAAATTTAGGTGGGTGAAAATCATATTTAAAAAATGGCAATTAACAGAGCTTGATTTCAGAAAAATGCCTTAATGGCAGTGCCTAAAGGCATTCATTTGGTTTGTTCTGTTAGTGAATTTATGAATAACTTGGTTGATTACTATAAATCTGAGAAAATTAAAACTAGGAAGGACAGTTAATACTCTGGATGACAGAATTAAAATAAAAATAGTTTCATATGCTCAAAAGTACACCCAAATGTAATCAATAAAAATACAATGACAAATGCAAATTTCAGCTTTGAGAAGAAAAATCAAAGTAATACCACATGTGACAGAACTAAAAAGTTCTTTGAAAGAGGCTCAAAGACTTTTTTTTTGCCAGTCGTGGGACTTGAACTCAGAGCTTGAGTGCTGTCACTGAACTCTTCCTCAGGGCTAGCACTCTACCATTTGAGCCACAGCTCAAGGTTTCACAAACTTTCCTGCCCAGGCTGGCTTTGAACTGCAATCCTCAGATCTTAGCCTCCCAAGTAGTTAGGATTGCAAGTGTGAGGCACTAGTGCTGGAATAGGGTGTTTTTTCCTTCTTTTTTTTTTTTTCTTTTTTAAACTGTCTACTCAGTAAAGCAACAGTATGATATGGATATTTAAAGGCTACACAGATTTCTAATAGTATCAAAACAAGTATAATGTTAGAAGGAGCCTTTTTTTTTTTTTTTACAAGGAGCCATTTTTATGCACAGTTACTAGTATATTTTAAGGGCACTGACATTGGGGCTTACTCAGAAGAGAATCATGAACCTGGAAACTATTTCATAGGACTAATGATTGGAGGAAATAATTAGCTTATAAAAGAGAAAACCTTAAAGAGGAGCTGGGAATAATTAGACTTTTTGCATATTCTCAAAACTTAAACCAGGGGTAGGAATTCACAAATTTTCCTACAACATAAAAAGAACATTTCAAAAGGATTATCAGTGTTAAAAATAGAAATGAATGCACTTAAGTAGATGAAGGCTGTTTAATATGCTTTTATAGTGGCTAGTTTCCCAGGCTAACAATATAACCTCCATTTCCTTTTTTCAGGAAAAAATAATGAAACTGAACTATTAAATCTTCTACATTCATCATTGTTAAAATGATGAATTTTTAAATGGTTATTTTCACCCTCTTTTCAACAATAGTGTTTTTCAGTTGTTAGAATAATCTAGAATAGAGCTTGATGCTAGTAACTCATGTCTTTAATACTAGATACTCTAAAGGCTGAGGATCACAATCTGAAGTCAACCCAGGTCAGGGTTCGGGTAGAAAGTCTGTAAAAAATCAACCAGCAAAAAGCCAGAAGTAGAGGTATGGATTTAGTGGTAGAACTCCAGCCTCATTACTGGCATAAACAAACAAATAAGAATAATATAGAATAACTCATTAACACCTTTTTAACAGGAAGCCAAAACATCCCATTTGAACAACTGATTCTACTTATTTTACCTACTGAAAACACAGCCAAGAGTATTTAGGCAGCCAGCATAGTATAAGGTCAGTGTACTCATACTATGTCACTTGAAAAAGGTTTCAGGTCCATACTCCAACTAAAACATCTTTCTTGTTTTTGTTTTTGTGGTTCCTGGAGCTTTAACTTGGCCTAGGTGCTGTACCTGAGCTGCTTTTGCTCAAGGTTATGGCTCTACCACTTGAGCCACGGCACCACTTTTGGCTTTTTTGAGTAGTTTATTGGAGGTAAGAGTCTTGGACTTTCCTGCTGGCTTGGAACTATGATCCTCAGATATCAGCATCCTCAGTAACCAGGAGTACAGGCATGTGCCATTGGCTCCCAGCTTGAAAACATTTTTTCAAACCTTGAAGATAAGCTTTCCAAACTTTCAGTGGCAAATTAGATGGAAAAGGTGGAGGAAACATGGAAACATTTAACCAGCAAATAATTAACTGACAAGAGAGGATATAAAGACTATCAAAGGCAGAGATAATAGTTTAGACAAGGCATACTACGTTTAGGGGAAACCTTTCTACATTTTTCTAAGGCATCATGTCTAATGGCTGGTATCCAGTTAATGGTCCTGTGACAAGAAGATTAAAATTGCACTTAATATTCTCAATGTAAGGAGGACATGAAATACCTGACCTAAGAGATCCAATAAGCATGTTAAAAATATGGATATTGTATTAGTTCTGGAAAATTGCATGTTTAGATCCTCAAAACTAATTATAAAACAATTTTATTTATTTAAATTATAATTATCTTGGATTGAGCATATATTTATAATATAGAGGGCATCATGTGGTATTCTCATATGCACACAAGTATACTTTGAACAAATTCACTTTTTCTCTTATATACCCACACTTTCCCTCCTCATTCATTATTCTATATTCACATATATTTAAAAGTAACATACTTCGCTCTTCCTCACTCCTCAGTATCTCCTATTTCCTCCTCCCACTCATAAAGCAGAATTTTAATTATTGGATAGAATAGTATTCATCAGTAAGTTTCTCATTCTAAATAAAATATCAAATTACATGAGCCTAAGTTCCTAAAGCTTTGCCAAGTGTTTTCTTTTTTGCCTTTTATGCTTCTTTATCATTTATCCATTTACTCTCACAAATCCCTTTTTAATAACTGAGAAAGCACTTATACTCTCTTTTCAGAACCAAAATTCTTACTCCATTAGAAAGATGAATGTATACTTTACAAATATATGTAGGGCACATACTAGTATTATAATATGACATATATTTGAATTTACCTATATACACTGTTCTCCAAATTTAAAACATAGAGAGTAAAAGTCTGACATATAACATGGCTCCTCTACAAGGTAGTTCCTGGTTCTATATGAAATGCTGTAGTAGGAGTTTGACTAAGATTTATACCAAAGGGAACTGGGCATGGTAGCTTACCCCTGTAGTCCCATCTACTTAGGAGGTGAAGATGGAGAAGATTCTGGTTTGAGGTCATCCCAAGGGAAAAAGTTAGGAATACCCCATCTCAACTAACAAGATGGTATGCGTCCTAGCTATGTAGGAGGAAGTAAGTAGGAGAGCATGGTCTGAGTCTGGGTCTAGGCACAAATATGAGACCTTACTTAAAAAACTGCAGAAAGAAAAAAAAAGAGTGATGAGGGTGTGGCTCGAGTGGTAGAGCACCTGTCTAACTAGTGTAAGGCCCTAAGTCAAACCCCAATACTACCACCCCCAAAAAAGGTTTAGATTAGATAACAATATCTATCATGATAAAAACTATAAAATTTTGCTATTGATAAAGAACTCAATACCAGAAGAAAGATTTGTGACTACCAGTAGGTAGCAGCAAGTTGTAGTTAAAAGTTGCAGTTCTTTTAACTACAGTCAAACTGGCTTGGTTTGAACCACTTATTTAACTATTAGTGTTTACTTACTCTGTTCCTTACCTGTAAGATGGGGAATTTCAATCAGCATTGTATCATGAATTAAATGAGACTGCAGTAACATGGACATCTTAGGCATATAGTAAGAATTCATTACCTTTCATTATCCTAAAAACAGGTCTTATTTCAAGTCAGTTTTACCTTCACTTGCAAACTTGCTGATGCAACTCTCCTTTCTAGGTCTTCTACCTGCTGAAGGACATTCAAATCCATCTCCATTGCTTGTTCTTCTACTGACCAGTTTTCCACAATATCTCGAGTCACCTGGTTTTCTTCATTTTCATTTAATTCAATAATAGCAACTATATTTGAAAAGAGATTAAACTTTAAATCCACCACATTTCCCCACCCCCTTGATTTCTTCTAGGAAGTGAATAAAATTCCAGGGGTACCACAAACATCTAACTTAACATACACATGGTCTCAGGCTTCCTCATGTGTTACAGACATGAGACATGTGCAGGTGCTAAAAATTAAAGAACCAATTTAAAAAATGTAAATAGTTACTCTTTTGTAAGTAAAATAGAAAAAAATCATAATAAAATAAGCTATATTAAAATATATTTAAGGATAAAAAATTCTCATAATTGAGCAAGCGAACAGAAATCTCTTTAGGTACGTACCATCCTTATTCTTGATACACGCTTGAGTAATATAATCCAAATGTTTCTGAATCTGTTTTTGTAATGCCTTTTCTCTTATTCCTCTAAGATGTAGAACTTTGAGTAAAGTTTTTAGATCTTCTGGGTCAATAATTCTCCACCAACCAAATTGCATTTCTAAGTCAAGATAAATATGCAGATCTTTTACAAATATTTTGAATAGGAAATAATGGTACAAAGTAATCCTAAAGATTTTTATCATCCACAGTAATGAAGTGGATGAGTAAGTACCCTGCGTTCTCGCAATGCACTTACCTTCTGGAATGGGTTTTGGACTGGGAAAATCTACTGGTTTTGCTACTTCAAGAGCTGCTGGTTGAGTGGAAGAGGGTTTTTCATTCAGAGGGACTGGAGATTCACTTTTACTTGATGCAACACTGGAAGTCAAGAATGAATTACCATTTCCTTCTGATAGTCCCAACCCTGGTCCCAAGTTAGGCAAAGGTGATGTAAATGGAATATTGGAGGTAAGTACACCGGCGGGCCACCCACAAAACTGAAGTCCCATCATAGACACTCCACTTTTCATCTGCAAAAAATGAAATAATTAAAAAGTAGATTACTCTGAGGGGTTAGGAACAGTGTTAATCTAAAACTGTTTTTCAAATTCTGAATTTTTTTCATTTATCATAATCAGAGGAAAATGAAATACATTAGCAACATAATGTTAAATTCAATGTTCTTATTTGCTCCCTCAAAAAAAATGCCTTTAGATATACTGCAATAGCAGTAAGTTTAAAAAAGTGTATAATGAAGACTTAAGACACAGTTTAAAAGTCAGTAGTTCTAATGGAGCTTGGTGACAGAAATTCTGGCAGTTTTCACTGTGGCAGGGGCATTATAATTATCCAAACAATCCCCTGAGTGAAAACCTTCAGGAAACCAAAGAGTAAATAAAGCAATGTCATACCGAGTTTGAGACAGTAATACAAACCTGTAGAGGCGATAAAGCAAATGGATTTAAGCCAACAGGATTCTGAGAAGATGACCCAATAAGAGGAGCTGGGGCAGGTGAAGGTGACTTCGATGGTGGCTGGGACTGAGGAATCACCAAAGACACACTTGACATCTCCGCATGGGTAAGAGAAGTGTCATCACAAGGTGTTCTTGGCAAAAGGCTAAACCACTGTCTATTCTTTTCAGTCAATGTTTTTAACAACTGGTCATTGGGGAGAGGACTGTAGAATTTCCCTGGACCACTTGAACCAGTGTTAAATAGATTGGAGTCCGTCTTCTCCATGTTGCTTTGTGTTGCTGCTGATGGAATGCTGCCCAGTGAATGTTTCCCACTGTTCTGATAAGACAGTGTACACCCATTAGCACTAGTATTTGGTTTGGGGGTCAAAATATCTGACTCGGGAGGCATCTTAGCTACTTCCAAAAGCTTGCTTAATTTGGAGAAAGAGCCAGGCTTCTGAAGAAACAGATTTGTGTTGTCTTTTTCCTTAAGATCTTCCTTTTGTTCCTGGTGATCTGTATTTGAGCAATTTAAAGTGTCTACAGGAGTCTCAAACCTTTCTTCTTTAATTTGTATACTTTCTGCCTTTTTAAGCTTTTCCTTTTCCTTTGCAATTTCTTCTAGTCCTGCAAAATTATAAAGTATTATGTAAACATCAAACCAATACTCTAAATTTTATTACCTATCAAAGCAGAAGCATATTTAAATAAACTTTGATATATTACTTAATGTTACTCATATTTTTTCTCTGTGGCTCATTTTTCACTTATTGAAAAATTAGTGCACATTCATTATTAAAAAATTAAAGTACAGAAATACTGAAAGCCTTATCACATGGCAAAAATTACTATTAATAGTTTTTGCATAAAACTTTCAGGAGTTTGTTATGTACCTTAGCCTCTAATTTTAAAAAAGGAATCTTTTTATACCCACAATAGTCTTAACCTAATCTGTGAAGTATCAATAAATAAATATAAATCAATATTTATGTAACTAAATATATAACTATATCATCAGTTTTAACAGCCACAGAACACTCAATGGATGACATCATAATTTAAATAATCAGTCGTTTAAGTGATAAAGACTATGGAGCTCAATTATCCACTATTATTAACAATTCAGTCAATCATAACTAACTTGTATGCATTTTAAAATTTTCTTTTCTGAGATAAATTTCTAAAAATCCTTATTGAATACTAAGATATATACTTGAAATATATTGCAAACTGTCCTCTTGAAAGTCCAGATCAGCATTTGTTCAGACAAGAATCACATTTATTAGCCGACTAATGTTATCAATGTTTTTGTCTGCCAATATGCAGGAGGTAAAATCTGAATTGCACTTTTTCTGATCACTAGTAGTCTGAACAGATTTCACTAGTTTATTGGTATTTCTCCTTTGTGAGAAATACTTTTTTTTTTAAATTTTATTGAGAAATATTTCTTAAATGATTAAATAAAAGAAGAAATTCAATTTTCATTTATCTAGCCAATCTTATGTTAATATTTAAAAGTTCTCATACTCTTCTCTTGAAATTAGTTTGTAGTTAAAATTAATCCTACACATCAAACTTACCTTCAACCAACATAGAGTAAGTAACAAGGACTAGTTTTAACATATTAATAAAAAAAAAACACAGACAGAAAAAATTTTTTATCATTTGACAGTCTACAACTGGACACAGTAACAGAAATTCAGCAAGCTCTATCACTGTCTGGTTATGCCTTAAAGAGTGTCCGGAATATAGCCTGGGGAGAAGAAATTCAGGTGGATTGACTGATTGACTGCCTGATGGGACAGAACTGAGTCTCGGGAGGCCAAAGTGACTAGAGTACTCAGGTATTTACTTTGGGAAGATGAGAGCTGCACAAGACAGAGCTCTGGAGACCTGCAGAACAACTCTGCAGAAAAATTCCTCAAGTATTAACTGAATGCTTGTGAGAACATATGTGTGAGGAACCTATTTGAGGCCAGGAAGAAAACTCACCTCACATGATTAGTGTGTTAGGTGTACTCATAGCCTGGGAATAGCACCTGTTCCTAGCAACCAGAGTGAGAAATCTCCAGACTCCCAAAACATTGGGTACAATACTCAGAATAACCTTGTTTAATTCCCATAGAATAATCCCTGGACAGCTCCATCCTAGTTTTGCTTAACAAACTCAAGTTCAACACTTTAAAGGGCCATTTTTTTTTAATGTAACTGCCTCCTAGTTAAGCAAAGTTCAAGAGTATATATAAGAATTAAAATATATCCAATCTTCAATGACGTGAAATCTACAGTGTTTGGCATCCAACAAAGTTTCCAAGCTAATAAGAAAACATGACATGAAATTTGAAAAATTAATCGATCATTACTGGTCCACTGAGAAGACAGTAAGAAAGGACATTAAATTAGAAATGTGAATGGCGGGAAATTTTCGGAATTGGTGGAAATTATAATCCCACAGATCCAGTAAACTCAACAAATTTTAGCAAAATAATTATGAAGTTACCTACATCAATAATCAAATCACTCAAAATCAATAATAGGCAAAAATCTTAAAAGCAGCCAGGAAACAAATGAAGTGCTGGGCACCTCTGCACATTTGCTCAGAAACCACGGTATTTCATCCTGTCTAGACAAGCATATATGAAAATGTTCAGAGATATTTTGTGCCCAAAATAAAAAGAAAGAAAAGGAATATGGGAAGAAATGTGTGGTTCTATCCCCAAAATTAAAATACCAACCAGGAATGGGAAAGTCACATTATCAAGTGATTCAAGGCTTGAAGAGCTGTTGGAGGAGTGGTGGAGCTACTAGAAGATTAGATGGAGAAAAAGCCTTTTAGGTTTCACCTTGCAAACACGCTGGGAAAATCCCCCAGCCTCCTTACTTTTCAGGAAAGTACTCAGCGAATAGGAGCCAGAAGACATTTGCTACATCATCCAGACCCTTGAAGTGAGATGACTGACAGGAATATTCAGTTATCAGCTCTACTTGTTTTTGTGAAAAAAATTTAAAACTCTGATTTATATATTCTAGTACAACCATCTGTATGATTAGCCAATCCTCTTGTGGATCCTTTAGAACTTTTTTTTTCCCTTTGAGATGAGGTCTTGCTGTGCAACGCAGGCTAGCCTCAAACTAGACATCCTCCTACGTCAGCTTTCTGTGTGTGAGATTACGAGTGTTCACCACAACGTGTGGTGGGTATTAATTATACTTTATATAGCTCTGGGGTTCCTGAAGCACCTATAAATGCCTAGCACTTTAAAAAATGTGCTGAAAGAAGATTTGGGCCTTAAGTATCACCAGAGATGAAAAGCTGCATCCCCCCCAAATTAGTAATCACTAATATACATCTTTGGCCTCATACAAATTTCATTTGGAAATGCCCATGAACTTCCAAAAAGTTCAACTCAAGAATATTTACTGAATACATAAATATAAGATGCACTGTGCTAATTGTTAATACAATAGAAATGGAGCCAGTAAAATAAATATCACAAAATATAGGAAGAGGTTTAATGGGTTAGGACATGCTATAAAAAAAAAAACCCGCAAAACCAAAACCAAAGTTAAACATGAACAAAGCTTTAAAGTGGAAAAGGAATATAGGAAGGACTTAGATTCAATCAAGGGGTGTGTCAGGATGCTTGTTCATTGGGACAGTGGCTCAGTGGTAGAGTGCTTGTCTCACATGCATGAGGCCCTTGGTTCGATTCCTCAGCACCACATAAGCAGAAAAAGCCAGAAGTGGAGCTGTGGCTCAAGTGGTAGAATGTTAGCCTTGGGCTGAAGAGCCAAGGGACAGTGCCCAGGCCGAGTTCAGGCCCCACGACCGGACCAAAAAAAAAAAAAAAAAAAAGAATAAGCAGCACATTTAAAAAGATTTGATGACAGGAAAGGGCTACAAATGTAAGACTTCACTAAGAAAAAGAATAACTTATGAATGATGGCAGAAAGAGTGGCAGAATAAAAATCAAGGAAATATTTATCAGTGAAAAGGGTTCAAAGGAATGGAAACCAAGGTTTTAGGATGTTTACTAATGGAAGCAATAGGGCTTGAACAACAGAAGCTCTTATTTACCACTGAGCTTTGTAATAAAAAAGGTCTTACCTTCACCACTCTCCATGCCTTCCACAAATATCCCCCCACACTGGGGAAGAATCCAGTATCGGCGTCTGTATCGATCCTGGCCAAACATCATTGAACGTAAAGAATGAGAAGCATCGAAAAGCTTTCTTCTGTACTGACTCTGTTGCTGTTTAAAAAAAAATCAGATGTATAATGACCTTATGGATGCAAAATACTTTATAAATTAACATATATTTTACTCTGTTTAGAATTGATAAAAGTTACTTATGAAAAAGAGTAGCCAAAGTGCTAACTACTGAATGCTTGACTTTAATAACATTTCTGAAGACAAATTATTTTTATAATAATTGGGATTTTATAAGCATAGATGAAAAGTTTAAGCTTTATTTTATCAAGTACTTTCTAGTAAAACATGACTTACACAAGTAAAACATGATCTTATATAGTGATTGAGTATTTTAGTTGATAAGGATATATAATTAATAATGTATCATTAATATGTAATCAATATATATATAATCAAATATATATATAATCAAATATATATATATATATATATATATATATCCTTATTTTGGCTATGTTTTCTGTGCCAATACCATGACTTGAACTCAGACCTTGAGTAGTCACTCAGCTTTCTTACTCAAGGCTGGTGCTCTACCACTTGAGCCATGCCTCCAGGACTAAATCTCTGGAGTAGCTAGGAAGACAGGCATAGAACACTAGAGCTCAACTTATATATGCTATATATGCATGCTGTCAATCTAGGCAATAATGTCTAAATTTTAAGAGAGAATGGTGACGAGAAACTTGGATATGATATACAGGCATCTCATAATACTTTTGGACACTTCTTTTTCTTACAAAAAGCATATCTTAAATTTCACTAAAACTACTGAAATTTAGTTCTTAATTAGTACATAAATACAAAGTATATAAATCAAGAAAATATGAAACCCCAAACATACAAATGTAAAATAAAACCTCTCATACTGACACTATTACTATGAAACTCAACTATATATTTTGAGAAATTAATTCTATGAAATCCTGTCATGCCTTTACTGATAGTTTGTATTTATATGGAGAGACAAAGAAGGCAATGGAAAATTTTCTTCAAAGATTCTGATTAGATTCAATATCTTAAGAGGCTTTCTAAAACTTGGCATTAAACTTTTAAGGTTTAATTGTGAACATGTTTTCAGAGTTCTTCATTTAATTTCTTACAAAAGCTTGCTTTTACTTATGAGTTAGAAAACAAATCCCATTTGATATAGATATTTTAAAAACTCTGTAAAAAAGTAAACATTATTTTTAAAAGTGCTTACTTTACTCAGTTTTTCAATCTGTTTTTCTAGTTCTTCCACACTTGCTGCTTGGTCACCTTCATCCTAAACATAACAAAATACAGTATCATGTATCTGTTTTGAGGTTTTATTATCCAATGTGTTTGATGATGAAGACTGAACCCAGGACCTTTTACGAGCTAGGTACATGCTCCACTGAACTACACACCTAGCCTGCTCCACGGACTGCTCTAAGATCAAGAGAAGAGCCCATTTGTGGAAGGAATGAAGAATAAGAAGAACAGGCAATCATCTTTGAGATACAGGGCTATGACTTAGTTCAGGAATGTATCTTGTGTGGAGGCTCTAGCAGGGACATGCAGCTAGTTGTATACCCTTGATTGAAGACCAGTCCTCAACCAGGGAAGGATGGCCTCTTTCCTGGGCATGCAGCTTTGTGAGGGACACATGGAACAATCAGGGAGGAAGAGGACACTTGCTTAGCCACTCACAAGGGCTGAATCAACGCTGCTATCAATGGGTTTACAGACATTGCAGTCAGTTTAACCTCACATCCAAGAGAGGTATCTCCAAATTAAAAGGGATCATGTGGGTCCTAATATCTGTGTATAACTTAATCAAGAGGCTACCCTATATTTGGAGAACAAATGTGTCTAGCTTATCAATCAGATTGCTTATGTAGTTGAAATTTTATTTAGGAATTTGATAATATATCTGCTAATCTATATTACAAAGAATGACTTTTATCATCCCAAAGGGAAAAACTTACACAAACAAACAGCAACAACAACAACAATAATAATAATAAAAACCAGGGTCTCACTATGCATTCTAGACTGGCTATTAATGATTTTTCTGCTTCAGCCTGAGTGTTAGGATTCTAGGTGTGCACCACCATGCTCAGCTAAAGGAAATATTAATTTCACCTCTTGAGTCCAAAAATACTTGCTGTTTCAAAAAATTTTAGCTTGCTTCCTCACATTAGCAACAAGCTAAACATTTGCAATAAATTTACATCTTATCTCTATAAACATATATTAAAAAGTAACATTATTTTAAATGACCCATCTCTCCCCAAAGAAACATTAATGATTTTAAGTAGTTTATGTATAATATATACTGCCTATAAATTTTGTTTCAAAAAGAAGCCAGGTCATATCAGCGTGGTGGTGTGTGTATATCCATAATGCAGTACCTGGGAGGCTGAGGCAGGAAGACTGAGAGTTTGGGGCCAATACTGGGCACAAAGACAAGTCTAGTTAAGGGAAAAAAGAGCCAGGTGAAATAAAGAATTTCTACAAATAAATTCTAACTTATGGGAATAACTTCTCAGGAGAGTAAATGGAAATCCACACTTGTTGTCCTGTTTATTCTGCTAGTATTCTGCCACCTGAGCCATACCTTCAATGCAGTTTTTTGCTACACTGAAAATGGAGTCTCATAGATTACTCTGCCCAGGTGGGCTTCAAACCTCTATCTTCCAGTGTCCCAAATAGCTACTAGTATAAGCATGAGCCAGTGGTGGCCAGCCTTGCAAGCCTTTTCTCTTCGAGCTAAAGCAAAAACTGAAGAGTTCTTTGTAGTCTTACTCAGGTAAATACTCTTGGCATTGAGGACATAAGGAATGACTCACTGGAGGTTGTCTTTTAACTCATTGCTGCAGCCTTTCATTATTTCTAGAATTTCTCTCGGGTAGAAGGTAAATAGTAACCTTGTATACATGTCCATTTTCCTGGCTTACGGTAACTTTCCCAAAAAACTCACAATAGCACATCTCTTTATGACACTGCCTTTTCCTGCTAGACTGACTTTTCAAAGCTAGTTCCTTTACCTTGAATGAAAATTTTAGTTAACACAAGAACCTTGCACAACTCTTTATCTTTTATTGTTAAATCTCCTCTTGCACTTTTAGTGACTCTTTCCTTTTAACCAAAAATAATGACTTTCATATCTGTAAAATCCTTAGCTTTCTGTCTTCCTCAAGGAACTAGTTCTTTCTGAAGTGTGTCTGAAACAGTCTTCTGTCATTAACTAATTATTACTCAATTGTTTTTCTGGTGTCTGCTATTATTCATGTAATGAAACTGGTTACCAGTGACCTTGATGTTACTGAATCCAGCAAACACAATCCTTACCACATTAGACTCCTGATGCTTTAACATTGTTTATTAGACTCTCCTTTACAAAATGTTTAATGTTCTTGATTTTTGTTATTATTACAAGTATAGAAAAGACAACAGAATAGATTCCTTTGAATGGTTTGCATTCATGGTTGGTCTCTGGCTGACATGCAAGAACTTGGAATGAAGGAGGCAGGCTGCATACTAACTGATAAAATAGGTCCACAGAATCTAAACTATGCTAACAAGATGCTGAACAACTGCCTTTCTTCAGAGAGTCTACAATGTTGACACATGCTACACATGTCCAAAATTAAAAATGACTGTCCTCAAAAAAAAAAAAAGAGAGAGAAATTGAGCCCTGAGTCTCTAATTAGCTTCCTTCATAGACATCATTATACATATGTAAATGCTGGGGGAAGCAAGTCTAGCATGTGTGACTCAATGAGAAAACTTTTGGAAGTATGCACTCGATTTCCTCTGGACTCACCCCCTACATTCTTGGATAATTGCTTTGTTTCCTTTTGTGTAGTAATTCATAGCTATATGCCCAAGTGAATATTGACTTCTGTGAATCATCCAAATGAATCACTGAACCTTGAGGAGGACTGGGATGTGCAATCAAATACAGAAATCTCCTACCTCTCTGACTCTTCCTTCTAGAACGATGAGCCTTCTGGACTCTGGTAGAATAGGATACAGCCTAGGGACTGTATCCCAACCTGAATATACTAGAAATCAATGTTTCTGGGCAATTTCATCCATGTCATGATCTGAAGCTATCATCTATGAGCTGACAGCACTCTGATCTGTATCTTCAAGACTAAACTCTTCTTCAGGATTCAGGTTCTAAATGTAACTGACTACTGAACTTTTATCTAGTTACTTTGAAATCTACAAGTCTAAAATAAACCTACTGACATTTCCTGTCTTCAGTTATCTGTCCTGTTAACTTTTCCTCTCTCCATTCATCTATTTACTATGTGGCCTGACTTCCCCATCTTGGAAGCAACAAGAACATGCAGTCTCTGAAAGCAGATAGGTATCAGACAGTCTTCCCCCTCATCCACCTACACAGTGTCCATCTTCAAATCTTCCTCATTCTTCCCCTAAGTATTTGAGTCCTTTCCTACTCAACCCAACTACCACTGTTCTAATTTCAGATCCCTCACAGCTCATCTAAACTCTTACAATACTTTATGGCTAATCTTTGCAAGTCTGAACTTATCTTAGTCTATTAGTCCCCATCAAGATGCTAGAATGAAATATTTAAAAATTAAGTCTGACCATTCTGTCATTTTTGTTTTTTATGATTTACTGCACCCTATCAGGTCACTGTTCTTCTGCACAGACTCTTCACTAAATTGACATGTGATTTCACAGCTCAGAACCGTTGGCTCATGCTTACCCCCTGACTGGGACACACTTTCCTAGGTTCTTCCTATGATTAACATTCACTCAAGGGTGTAAAAGCCTTAGCTGTTAAGTTCAGAAACACTTTGATGAGTTTAATCCTCAGCAAGTCTAAATGCCTTTCCTGTGTAATGTCCAAGCTAATTGTAAATATCCTCCCCTATCAAATTTGTTTCAGCACTGAATTTTCCTTTTACAAAGCTTCACCAGTAAGACTGAGTTAAGAGGGGATGTTCAGTATATTCTCCACCTTCCATTTAAATTCTCTAAAACTAGAGAAAGAGTAACTGCCATTTGAGAAATACACCATTTTCACTAAACATGACAATATATTTATAGATATGAAGTGTCTACAGATGTTAATGAAATGAAAGAGAAAATCTGAAATTAAGCTTTTTGCGACTTTTTGGAGAATTCTCAAGTAATTATAAGCATGTGTCACTTAATGGAGATAAGTCCTGAGAAATATATTGTTAGATGATTTAACCGCATCAATATCATAGAGTATACTTCTACAAACTATCCTAATTGGGAATACTGTCACATATGTGCTGGCTGAAATGTCATCATGCACATGGCTGTACATACAAAGAAAACCTTTTATTTGCTCTAATTGTGTTCTGTGTAGAGGCATGCTATCCATTATTTACTTAAGCACAAAAAATGTTGTAAGATGAATTCTATAATATTCACTTTTCAGAATGGGATGACAGCCCTCACTTAGGTGAGGCCTCAAGTTTGAATCTGAACACTGCAAAACAAAATACAAAAGAACAAAACATCTTTACTTTTCAGATAAAGAAACTGAGACCAGTGACACAACTGAACTGAACTGCGAATATGTTGACTCCAAACTCCATGTTGTTTTTTCAGCATGTCAAGTCATAAAAAAATTAACCTAAATTTGATTACCTCATCTTCACAGATATCAGTCTTCTTCCCTTTTTTGTCATCTTTATCTTCTTCATCTTCATCGTCCTCATCAGCTTGGTCATCACTATCATCGTCATCATCATCATCATAATCACTGTCTCCTCCCTTCCTTCTTCGCTTGCGCCCTGGAGTGGGTGTGCCCAAAGGATGCTGCTCTTCGCCAAGGTCAATGCCACAAGAGGTGTCTCTTTTGCCTGTCTTCTTAGCATGGATGATTCTAAGCCTTTAAGTATTATAAAAGCGTGATATGACATACTTAGATATTTGAAAAAGAGCATAAGTTTTAAGCAAACTATGCCTCATGGTACTTCTCTCAGAGTAAAGACTACATCAATAACAATAAACATTAGAATCAAGAAGCAGTACTTGAGACAGGAAAATCAAGAGCTCAAGGAGAGCCTGGGCTATACAGCAAGTCAAGATCCTGTTTGAAAAATCAAATCACAGAATTTGAAAAACATAAGTAAGGAAATTTAGGAACTATACTGCCATACATTATTATGTTAATTTTCAAGCTATTCTTAAGTTTTGGCAATTAGAAGACATAAAAAAAAAAAGTATAAGTGGAACCGGGCGCTGGTGGCTCACGCCTGCAATCCTAGCTACTCAGGAGGCTGAGATCTGAGGATCGCGGTTCAAAGCCAGCCCGGGCAGGAGAGACTCTGAGACTCCTATCTCCAATAAACCACCAGAAAACCGGAAGTGGTGCTGTAGCTCAAGTGGTAGAGCGCTGGCCTTGAACTGAAGAGCTGAAGGACAGCGCCCAGGCCCAGAGTTCAAGCCCCACAGCTGACCAAAAAAGAAAACAAAACAAAAAAAACTATAAGTGGCACTGTGGCTCAAGTGATAGAGCGCTCGCCTTGAGCTGAAGAGTGCAGGGACAGCACTCAAGCCCAGAGTTCAAGATCCACGACAGACAAAAAAAAACAAACCTGTAAAGGCTGAAAAGATCAATTCTAACAATGATCAGGTAAATGATAATCCCTGATCTTTATATTATGTGACTGAATAAATTTCAGTTCAAATTAATGTAAAGAAACTATCCTATTTTTTTCTTTCTTGTTTGAACTTGAGACAGGGTCTCACTATGAAATATAGGGTGGACTTGAATTTGCGATCTTCCTGCATCAACTTTGGGAGTGCTAAGATTACAAACATGTATCACCTTGGCTGATTAAACTATCCTCTTAAGACAGAGGTTGAACAATTTTATTGTATTATAGCCTAGCAAGATAATTGTTTTAGTATTGAGTAGATCTGGATAGATTCTGTAAGTCATTAAGGAGAAAAAAGGGTAGTTCTACACAGTTTATATTTATGACAAAAATAACCTGAGTATCAATCATAGAAATGATATTTATTGAAGCTCCAAGAAACAGAAACAAGAAGTTTTATATTTTACTTTTTGTGATTTTTATTTTATTTTATTTTATTTTGCCCTTATCCTTTTGTCGCTGTTTATGATTTCTGTGCTTTTTATCTTGTGGGAAAGTTTATCTGTTTGGGGGAGGATAAGGGGAAAATACAAATAATGGGACAAAGGGTGAACTATTTCAGCAGTGATACTCACTAGATACTATGTTGAAAATGAACCACGCAACTTGGGAGGGAGGGGGTTGAGAAGGGGAGAATTGGGAGAAAATGAGAGAGATGACACTATTCAAAAAGAAATGTTGCTGGGCGCCGGTTGCCCACGCCTGTAATCCTAGCTGAGATCTGAGGATCGTGGTTCAAAGCCAGCCCGGGCAGGAAAGTCCTTGAGACTGTTCTCTCCAATAAACCACCAAAAATCTGAAAGTGGTACTGTGCCTCAAGTGGTAGAGTGCTTGCCTTGAGATGAAGAGCACAGGGACAGCGCCCAAACCCAGAGTTCAAGCCCCACGACCGACCCCCCCCCAAAAATTGCTCATTACCTGACTTATGTAACTGTAATCCCTCGTATATCACCTTTACAATAAAAATAAATTTTAAAAAAGGAAGTTGGGTTGCTTAACTTCTCTGAAAGAGAATTCTTTTAATTTCTAAGCATATAAAATCAACAAATCTCATTATACGTTTTGTACATTGCAGATTCTGGCACTGAGTTTTCTTAATTTCATATATCTAAACTAAACATTATCTTTCCTTTGGAAGAAGTAAAGTTATTATTCTATCTTTGCAGTCATATATTCTACTAGAAAGTTGTACAAAAGGAAAAATATATTAACATTGATAAACAGAACTTACTTGCGGAGTTTACCTTCAACTACCCATTTATCTCTCCTCAAGTTTGACATATAATCAATGTTCTTATCAATTTCACTGCCAATACAAAAATGTATTAAGATAAAAATTAATCCATTTATAAAATGTAATCATTTTTGTAAATAAAATGATACAATTTACCTTCTATCACTACTTGGACATACATGCTCATATATGCAAATGCATTTGTGTCATTTCTTCAGTGGATACACCATTAATATTAGGAAACTCACCAGATGTCCACATTAAACTAAGGAAGGAACTATCCATGCATTGCCTTCCAAAGACAATATTCCATTTTGGTTTGTCTATATTTAGGGTATGATAATTCCAAAACCAAAGCATTTAATATGCCTATCTTCAGATAATATCTATCTGAGTGTGTACATAAATGTCCAAACAGATGCTGAAAATAGTATGTCTAGAGATGTTTATAGGTTACAATGGTGCTTTTCTCTAAGGTAGAAACTGTTATTGTATTATTTACATTGAATTTATGCAGCAATGTATATGTATGTTTAAAAAAACTGCTTTTCAGTGTATTCATTATCATTATTATGCTTAATAAAATTATTCTATTATAAAATTATAAAACTTAGGGATTACATTCTATGATATTGTACCAAAGAATAGCAAAAACAAAGAAAATCATTTCAATTTAACAGAGTGGCTAAGATATGAACAGAGAAACAAAAATGTCCAGCAATGTTAGAATCACATGGCTCTGAGTATTTGGGTTGATCCTTTTTTCTAAAAAAGTAAAAGACTGAAAGTAGCATAATTAAAATCTGTGAAATAATTAATTGGAAGATCAGCATGATCATAGATTTGTTCACAGATCTTGAAATGCCTGAGTATTAATTTAGAATTTCAGAAGTTACAAATGATAGAGTGCAGAACTTATTTAGCATAAAACCAAAGATCAAGTGGCTGACTAATTCTATGACTACTAGGAAAATCGGGTAGCTATCTGTCCTCAAAGATTTTAAGGAAGGAAAAATTATGGTGATAGGGGCTGGGAAGGTGGCTCAGTGGTAGAGCACTTGCCTTGCATGCACGAAGCCCTGGGTTCGATTCCTCAGCACCACATAAGCAGAAAAAGCCAAAAATGGGGCTGAGGGTCAAGTGGTAGAGTGCGCGCCTTGAGCTGATAGAGCTAAGGGACAGCGCCCAGGCCCACAGTTCAGGCCCCACGACTGGCAAAAAAAAAAAAAAAATTATGGTGATAGATTCTAGGACTTAAGCAAATAAGAACTATATATTTTTCTACCTATCTATCTAATATATAGTATATATGGAATAAAATTATTAAATGAAAGGGGGACCAAGACTATTGGCTGTGTAAATACAGTGTAACCTAATATTCCCCAATAAATGACAAAGAAATACTTTAAAACATTACATATTAATTGCAAAAAGCAATGATATAAAAATTTGCTCTCTCTCTATATAAAGAGCAAATGTATTTTAAGAACTACATGAAAGTATTAGTGGTTTTTTTCTAAATGGGTAAGAACTTACAACTTTAACGTTCTTCTTATTCTAATCTATAATTCTAAATTTTCTATATGCAAGATGTATTCCTCTGTAATGACAAATTTAAACCAGGAAATAATCACCAGAAAACCCTGGTCATGTATGTGCTTACCTCACCACACTCTTACTGCATGCCAGTTCATTGATCAGGAAAGCCAGGATTGAAGCCTTCTGTGCTGGAGTGTGAGCCTGAAAAGCTTTGGTCTTCAGGCTTTCAGTGAGCTCAGTTTGTCCACAGTGATTTTCCATAAAAATCTGCAAAACCTCAGACACATTGTCTCGGTTCACACCAACATTCAGCAAATGTTCTCCAAGAGCTGTTTTGGCCTATAAAAGTTTGGCATTTTTATCAATATTTATCATAACCATTCATAATAAATAAACAGTAAGATTAACAATACTTGTTCTAGATATGTTCTAGATATTACTGATAAATGCTTTATTCACAGTTTGATGTGGAGGTAAAAATAAACAACAGATTATAGACAAACATTCAAGAACATGCATTGTTCTGTTCCTTCTTCAAACTTTTGGTTTAAAGTCACACTGAGACAATATATTATCGACACAATTTTCATCTTTAAAATAGAAAGCATGGATACTGGTGGGCTATAGAAACTAAATAATCTAGCAAGCTTTCTTTGAGACAAGGTCTCATGCTCCCTTTTTGCTTAGGCTGGCCTCAAACTCATGATCTTCTCCTCTTGATTTTCCCTGCAGAGTAGCTGTGATCACATGCATGTACCACTACACCTAACTGCCAAATCAATTCTGAATCTGTTGCTCTATAGACGCCTTGTCAAGTGCCTCTATTATTTACAATGATTGAATGAAGCAAAGTATAATTTCAGAAGGCACAAAGAAGTTCTAATTGTCCTATGAATTATGAATTCTGGTTTTGCTTTCCTTAAATGAACTGGGTTATAGCCTAAAGCTAGAATAAAACAAAATAACTGAGAAAGGAAGGTCTACATTTATAACCAAGTTCTTCTACGTTTGCAACAGGTATAAACTAATGAAAATCGACATTTAACTTCATGAGAAAAATATGATCACTTTACACAATCTTCTGCTATTATGGTACAAATGCGCTGATAGTACATGTTTAAAACAACTCTTATATTTTGTTTTTGTTTTTTACCTTGTATCCTGTAATTAGACCTGGATCACACACAGCAGCGGAGAGGAGCCTCACCAGTAGGTCTTGGACTTCACCCATGCTGTCCCCTATATTTAGTAATCCCTCTTGAAGAACACTCAGGTTTGGAACATCAATATTCACATCAAAGCCCAAAACTTTACCAAAGTTTCGTAAGAACTGCACCACCATGAGACAGTCTGAAAATGTACTTCCAGAGAGAACAAGTCCTGGAATACGAGGCAACTCTGGCAAAGGCTGAAAATAAAACATGAATCAAGTTTAAAATACTTTCAAAAAGTGATGGTCGATTTTTTTAACAGAGCTTTTTTTTTTTTTTTTTGCCGGTCATGGGGCCTAAACTCTGGGTCTGGGCGCTGTCCCTCAGCTCTTCAGCTCAAGGCTAGTGCTCTACCACTGGAGCCACAGCGCCACTTCCAGCTTTTTCTGTTTCTGTGGTGCTGAGGAATCGAACCCAGGGCCTCATGCTTGCAAGGCATGCACTCTACCGCTGAGCTACCTTCCCAGCCCCTGATGGTCGATTTTTTAAAACAAAGAATGTTGTTATCTTTCTTGCCCCTATGTTGACTAGTGGTGCTTTTTTCTTTGGATGCCACATTTCCTGGGCATTTCTGCAGCCTCCACAATACAAGGTACAGTGTCTTGAACATAAGTAATGGCCAGGAAACTTGTCTCACCTCCATATGAACTGAAATTCATCTCTGAAAAAAAATGCTGGCTTGAATTAACCCATATTAATAAATTATGGGTTGTATATTGAAAAGGCTAGAAAAAACATAAGAAATGAAATGTACCCTCAAAAGTACTTTATTATAGATGTACTGATTAGGGGAATATGTACTAATTTCTTCTGATAATGGAGATATTTGATATCCATACTTGTTTTGGTTGCCCAGAAAATAACAACATGGCTCTGCAGTCTTTCTGGATGGAGAGAAAGGTACTGATGAATGTAGATAAATGATTAGGTCTGTCTTACTAGACCTCAGGGCTCTGAATGTGAAACTAATTATAATGCAACTAGAGATTTTGAGCTTGCCTATATTTGGCAAAGCATTCCTATGAGCTTCAGTAGTACAGTCAGCTATCTGTCACAAGCTCTCAAATATGTTCACATATGAACACCTTAGTGACTAGGTTATAGCACTAGTAATAAACATTTATAAAATTGAGTAATAGCTAATCTAAATTAAGAATATTTTTGTGGAGAACTTTACATTTCAATAGAAAAAATAAATGATTTACAACATTTCCATTTGTGGTCTGTGTTTTAAAAAATGCTCCTTTGCCCCCACTCTTTTCAATATGGTACTAGAATTCCTAGTCAGAGCAATAGGGCAGGGAAAGGAAACAAGAGGGGACTCAAAGGAGTAAGAGTCAAATTATTCCTATTTGCTAATGATAAGATCTTATGCTTAACAGAGCCTATACAGTCCACCAAGATGTCAGAAATATAGCAGCATATAAAACAAATAATCAAAAACTAGTAACTTTTCTATATGACATCAATGAATAGGCTGAGAAAGAAATTAAGGAAAGCACTTCTTTTTCATAATAGCCTAAAAATAGTAAAATGTCTAGGTATTAACGAGGAACATAAAAGATATTTAACTATGAAAACTATAAAACCTTGAAGGAAAAAACTGAAGATGACATCAGGAGATAGAAAGCCCTCTTGCTCTCGTGGAATGGTCATAGTGCTAAGGGCAATCTATAGATTCAATATAATTCGATTTAGAAAAATCATTCCAAAAATTCATATGGAGGCATAAAAGATGCCAAATAACACATATAATTCTAACTAAAATTCTTTGGAGGTATTACAATTTCTGGCTTCAAATTATACTACATAGCTATAGTTAAAACAAAACAACAACAACAAACCCCCACAAGCTTGGTACTGGCAAATAAGCAGATCCAATGGAATAGTATGGAAGACCTAGGGATAAAAGTATATAGCCATACTCAGCTAATTTTTGACAAAAAAGCCAAGAACATACAATGGAGAAAATACATCCTCTTTAAGAAATGGTGCTGGGAAAACTGGTTATCTATTTGCTGGAGACTGAAACTGGACTCGAAGCTCTCATTCTATACAAAAATCAACTCCAGATGGATCAAAGACTCAAAGTAAGACCTGAAGCTTTAAGTCTACTGCAAGAAGGTATAGAAAGAACTCTGTAAGATATAAACACAGGTAGATTTTTTCTGAATAGGCCTCCAGCTGACCAGAGAATGTGAATAAGAACTGACAAACAGGACTACATGAAATTAAAGTTTCTGCTTAGAAAGTTTAAACATTCAAATCAAACTTGTAGGTGTACTTTAATTTTTACTGAAAAATATCTATGCTATATAAATAAATAGTATATCAATGTAATTAAATTCTCCCCGTGGTACAAAAAGTTTACTTTAAGCACACTAGAAATGATCTTATTTAAGTCAAGAAGATAACCACCAGATGAATGTAGTATATAAGTAAATACAAACTGCAAATGGTACAGACTAAACAAAATATTATGGGGTAGCAGTAAAGAGAATATATGTATTTTTTTGGGGGGGTCCAGTCGTGGGGCCTGAACTGTGGGTCTGGGCACTGTCCCTCAGCACTAGCTCAAGGCTAGCACTCTACCACTTGAGCCACAGCACCACTTCTGGCTTTTTTCTTTTTGCTTATGTGGTGCTGAGGAATCGAACCCAGGGCCTCAGGCATGCAAGGCAAGCGCTCTACCACTGAGCCACCTTCCCAGCAATATATGCATTATTGATATACTTTACAAGAGTGCCATTGTCTTAACTATGCCTAATAGGACTAAAACTGATTTCTACTCCCAAAAGTTTAACACCTCATGTCACTTGCCAACATTATTTTGGTCTTTCTAAATTTCTAAATTTTTATTTTTTTTTATTTTTTGGTTCTGGTCCTGGGGCTTGAACTTAGCCTGGGCACTATGCCTGAGTTTGTTTGTTCAAGGCTACAATCTACCGCTTAAAGTTTTTTGTGGTTCCACTTCTAGGTTTTTGTGGTTAGTTAAGAGATAAGAATCTCTCAGACTTTCTTGCCTGGGCTGGCTTTGAATCAAGATCCTCAGATCTTTGCTTTTTGAGTAGGCTAGAGTTATAGGATTGAACTCAATTTCTACTGTTATATGTTATAGCAACATTACATGTCTATAAAGCACCTTACCATAAAAGAAAAACACATGGGTGCTGTGATAGAACATCAATTTTGGGCTTGCAAGATGAGAAACAGCATGTACTCAAAAGTGTAATAAGCTGTGGCCTAAACACAAGCTCTGTAATCACAGCAAGTTTCTTAAGCTCTTTGTGTCTCAGTTTTCTCATCTGTATTGAAGATAAACACTAGTTTCTAGGGACTTTGAGAAGTAGATAAATCATATAAATAATATCTTCTCTTAGCTCCTAACATGATGTTAACATAAAGTCCAATAAAGGTTAGCTACCATGACTAAAGCACTGGAGCAATACAGATTAAACCCCTGATTTATTTAAAGATCTATGGGCCCTGAGAAGGTAGATTTTCCTATGCCTGAATACCTGGGAAGAATCAAATAAAACATGGAAGTACTTCTGAGATTATTCTTTGCAAATTTCTACAGTTATCCATTAAAATTAAAAGGTATGTAGATATCTGTGAAAAGGTGGGAGGGAAGACACAGAATACAAGGAAAAAGAGTGAGAAAGTACAGCAGTGGAGCTCACTGGACATTGATGAAAGTGAACTATCCAACTCATGAGTGGAGATGGGAAGGAGGGAATGGGAAAGAGGGAGGGAAGAGATGACACTGTATGCAAGGAAATATACTCATTACCTGATACATGTAAAAGTAACCCCTCTGTATACCTCCTCTACAATAACAATAAATTTAAAAAAAGATATTTAGAGCTCCAACAATATAGTAAGAACTGGTATATTATCAGAATAAGAACTCCATCTTGGTGGCTCTCCAAGAGAAACAATGTAACCTAGATTTGCAAGTCTACCACACTAGACAAAAATTAAAGGCTTTCATAGTGGTAACTCTGGGAAAGGAATCAAGGAAAAATTAAACTTATTTCTGAAATAACCTTCAAGTAATGTAAGTTACCTTTTGGTCTGCTAAGCACATGTCTTCATTTGGCTTCTTTAGCTCCTTTGCAATTTCTAGTTCTAATCTCCGTTGCTCCAGTTTACGCTCTTTATTTAATCTTTTCTCATCACGTTTTTCTTGTTTCAACCGCTCTTTTTCCTTCAAAAGAAAATCAAACTCTCCTTAATCATGTTAAATGTTTGAAAACAACTCCAGTTGAAAGTTAAAGTGATCAAAGTGCATATTTCAGTGAACAAAAATATTTTAGAAATAAATTTACCATTAGTCTAGAAAAATTTATAACAATGATTTACTTTGGTTTAATTATTTTCACTTTTTGAACTTCAAAATAATCTTTTGACACAATCATATCTTAAGAATATGAAATAAGACAAAAATCTTACAATGCTTCTATAATACTTAGTATCAAGATTAGATTTAAGAAAGACTATGTTAAAAGTCTTCATGAATAATTTCAATCCTTTGACAGGTCATGAAAATCAAATATTACTAAGAGGAGGTATGTAAATAAAATAAACATAAGCAACTATCATAAAACAAATTTGACTAGTATCAGCAAAATATGTGTGGCTAGAGGAAGCAAAGGAGGTTTCACCGCAGCAAAGTACTGTGTGAATTTGCAGAAGCATTTCTTCCAACATGGATTATCTAGTCTAAAACAATACTGGGGATGAAATATATGAGATATTATTTACCACCATAAACAACACTTAAAAGAATATAGGATAGCAAGTCTGAAGGTAATTCTGAAGGCATTCCACAAATGTTTTGATGCGGATATGGTACCTCATGCCTGTAATTCCGGCTAAGAAAGAGGAATTGGTTCAAGACCAGCCTAAGTAAAAGTGAGATTGCCAATTTAACAAATAAAGTATGCATGGTAGAGTGAAACTGTAATCCCACTTCCATGGGAATCTGAAAAATAACCAAAGGGAAAAAGGGGATGCGGCTCAAGTGGTATAATAACCGTCTACCAAGAGCAACACAACTCCTGAATCCAAAATTCTGTGCCATAAGGAAAAGAAAAAGTTTGTGTTTTGTCCTTGCTATAAAGAAGAGAATTGTCAGAACAAGATGCAAACATAAAAGGGATCCAAATAGGGAAAGATGAAGTAAAACTTGCCCTCTTTGCAGATGACATGATCTTGTATTTAAAGAATCCCATGGATTCCACTCCCAAATTACTTTAGCTGATTCAAAACTTTGGCAAAGTAGCAGGGTATAAAATTAACCCTCAAAAATCAATGGCTTTCTGTATGTCAACAAATGAGAAAAGCGTGGCTGAAATCAGGAAAGCAACTCCATTCGAAAAGCCCCACAAAAAATAAAATACCTAGGAATTAACTTAACCAAAGAAGTGAAGGACCTCTGTGATGAAAACTTTAGAAACCTGAAATAGGAAATAAAAGCAGAACTGAGGAAGTGGAAAAACCTCTTATGCTCCTGGATTGGAAAGATCAACATCGGAAAATGGGAATACTTTCTAAAGCTATCTACAAATTCAATGTGATACATGTCAATATTCCAACCTCATTCTTCAAGGAAATAGAAGAGGCAATCCAAAAATTCATATGGAACAATAAAAGACCCAGAATAGCAAAAACGATCCTCAACAGAAAGAACAGTGCTGGAGGATTATCAATACCAAATTTCAAACTCTACTACAAAGCCATAGTAATCAAAACAGCTTGGTACTGGCACAAGAACAGACCTCAGGACCAATGGAATAGAACTGAAAACCCAGAAATGAACCTACAGACCTACAGCCATCTAATCTTCCATAAGGGAGCTAAAAAAGTAGAATGGAAGAAAGACAGCCTCTTCAGTAAATGGTGCTGGCAAAATTGGTTAATCACTTGTAGAAAACTAAAGCCAGATACTTATATATCACCCTGCACCAGAATCAACTCCAAATGGATCAAAGACCTCGGAATCAAAGCACACACCCTGAAAACCTTACAGGACGGAATAGGAGAAAGCCTAGGTCTCCTTGACACAGGCCGAAATTTTCTTAATAGAGACCCAAAAACACAACAAATCAAAGAAAGGTTGGACAAATGGGATTGCATGAAATTGCAGAGCTTCTGCATGGCAAAGGACATAGCTAGCAAGATCAATAGAAAGCCCATGGATTGGGAGAAGATCTTCACTAGCCATACAATGGACAAAGGTCTCATACCTAAAATATAATTTGAACTCAGAAAATTAAATCCCCCAAAAACAAATCTTCAAAGAAACAACTGCCCAATAAATAAGTGGGCTAAAGGCTTACAGAGAAGCTTTTTTGAAGAGGAAAGAAGGATGGCCAATAGATACATGAAGAAATGCTAAACCTCGCCATAAAAGAAATGCAAAACAAAACAACACTGAGGTATCACCTCACTCCAGTTAGAATGGCTATAATCAAGAACTCTAATAACAACAGATGCTGGAGGGGATGTGGACAGAAGGGAACCCTACTGCATTGTTGGTGGGAGTGTAAACTTGGTTCAACCAATAGACCTCCCTTCTATTTTATATATTTAGATTGTAAGTAATTTGTAGGCAGGTTGTAATAGCATACATCTATAACTTCAATACTCAGGAAGTGGGGGCAAGAGAATCTCAAGTTCAAGACCAGCCCAGGTAAGTCAGTGAAAAGCCTATCTTAAAACAAAACAAAACTGCAAATAAAAGTGATGGGAATGCAGCAATGAAAGCTATCATTTAAAATGTAGTTCTATTTTTATGGACAAAATGTTTATTTTATACTAGAATTTGATTTGGGGGGAAGAGTTAATCCGTTGCCTCACTTTTATTCTTAGGAACACATTAAAATAAATTAAGAAGCAGCACATCTAAAATAGGGGCTGGGAAGGTGGCTCAGTGGTAGAGCGCTTGCCTTGCATGCATGAGAGCCTGGGTTTGATTCTTTAGCACCACATAAGCAAAAAGAAAAAAGCCGGAAGTGGCAGTGTGGCTCAAGTGGTAGAGCGCTAGCCTTGAGCTAAGAGCTGAGGGACAGCGCCCAGGCCCAGAGTTCAGGCACCAGGACCTGACCCAAAAATAAATAAATAAATAAATAAAATCAAATAAATTTCATTTAAGGTTAAAACATCTATTAACTAATAATTTTTGGGGGGATGCTGGTCCTGAGTCTTTAACTCAGGGCCTGAGCACTGTCCACTATCTTTTTTGCCTAAGGCTAATGGCTATATCACTTGAGCCACAGCTCTACTTCTAGCTTTTTGATGGTTAATTAGATAGAGTTTCCTACACAGGCTGGCTTTGAACCACAATCCTCAGATCTCAGCCTCCTGAATAGTGAGGATTATAAGCATGAACCACAAGTGCCCAGTCTGGATTACTGTTAACAGTCAAAAATATATAAGGCAAAAAGCTAAAAGTCATGTAAAGATTATTTATATAATAAAAGCATAAAAGTATCTTCAAACATTCTATAGTATAATAACAAATAGGTAACCTAATGTACCCTATTTTAGAATTATGTGTCTAAGAACTAAGGAGTGAATGTGGTACAATGAGCTAATACTATAAAGTTCACAACTTACAGGACTGTAAAATATGCTATTTTTTAATATATATATTTTTGTAAAGATACTGTATAGAAGGGTTACAGTTACATGTGTAAGGTAATGAGTACATTTCCTATTGAGCATTGTTACCCCCTCCTTTGTTTTTACCCCCAGCCTCCCTACCTCCCCCTCACCCCCACCCCAAGTTGTAAAGTTTGTTTTCAACATAGTGTCTTGTATGTCTTATTGTTACAATGGGTCAAGGCTGACCCATTGTATCCTTGTTTCAGCATTTTGTTATATCCCTTCCCCTCTCCACATCAGAAAAATGTATATACAAGATGCAAGGTACCAGAATCAAATACAGTGAAAACAGGGGTTATACCAAAACATGCCATTTTTATAGACCAGTGATTTTAGCACTTTACAATTCTATTGGGTCCCTTAGGTGACTGTTCTGGGTTTAACTTAAGAGAATACTTTTTTTTTTTTTGACAGAAATTTGTACTCATTTAAAATGTAACAAGATTTAAAGTTTACCTCAAGCTGTAGAAAAATAAAAGTGTAAAGATGAATAATAATAGAAGTTATACTAGACTTACAAAGAGTAAAAATGATAGTGCTTTATGGGTCACATATTTAATATGAGTACAATAACCATTCTTTAAAATGAGCTTACAATTTTAATTTATATGTAATATAATATGAAAATTAATCTAAAACAAAGGAATATTATGAATCAGATGATTGAGGAAGGATTAAAGGCAATTATATTTTATAGGAAGAAAATAATAAAGTAAATCTTTTCTTAAATATTTCATTAAAAATTCTGTACTTAAGATTAACTGTTTTCAGATGTCACGTAGAATAGCTACTTTTACATAAATGTCTCTTCATTTTAAATCAAAATTGTCAAATTTCACATCAGGTAGGGATTTTATAAGAATATATTCCAAAATCTATTTCGAGTGATATTTAAATTCTATAAAAATATAAAGCGAGCCGGGCGCTGGTGGCTCACGCCTGTAATCCTAGCTACTCAGGAGGCTGAGATCTGAGGATCGCGGTTCAAAGCCAGCCCGGGCAGGAGAGACCATGAGACTCCTATCTCCAATAAACCACCAGAAAACCGGAAGTGGCGCTGTAGCTCAAGTGGTAGAGCGCTCGCCTTGAGCTGAAGAGCTGAGGGACAGCACCCAGGCCCAGAGTTCAAGCCCCACGGCCGACCAAAAAAAAAAAAAAAAAATTGATTTTACATTTTACTTTTACATTTTAAGGTAGTCAATCTAATTTCTCTCTCTCCCTTTCTCTCTTTTCTTTCTGTATCATTACTGGGCTTTGGACTCAGTCTGAGTACTCTTCCTTAATATTTTTGCTTAAGGCTGGTGCTCTACCACTTGAGCCATAGAGCCATTCTGGCTTTTTGGTGGTAAATTGGAGATCAGAATCTCACAGACTTTCCTGCCCAGGCTGGCTTCAAACTGCAATCCTCAGATCTCAGGCTTCTGAGTAGCTAGGATTACAGGCATGAGCCACCAGTGTTTGGTTTAAGGCAATTTAACTTTGAAAAAGAAATAAAGTACATTTATATAAATGCTGTTCTAGTATATTTTCTGTGCCTTTAATTGAAAAGCAATTTTCTTTTCAAAGTCTATATATGCAAGTCTGCCTTTTATTTTTATTTTTCACTACATAATGATTGGGATGAGTATAGAATTATGAAATGCTACCATGAATAGTGTCATTGAGGGATTAAGCTTTTTTTTTTCTACTTTCAAATTACTTATTGGATTACTTTGGAATGGGAACCCTGTTTTCCATTGTGTGCGTCTATTTCCTGAAGTGCTGACAGTCATTCTGTGATAACATACATGTTTAACATCCTTTTGTACTTTACTGACCCTTGAGGAGACATAGAAAACAAACTACTATATTATTATGGTTGGTTATGCAGTTTATAAGAGTGATTTTAAATTTGTAGTTGGTATAAAGTTTCTAAAATTAAAATAGGAGATTAAAAAATAAAATGTTGCTTTCTCATGCTGTTTAATCTTGTTTCTAATGATAAATATAAGAGCAAATGTTTTCATATTTTCTTGAATTAATACTAGGGAGTAAGCTGTTTTTATTTTTGAGGCTAACAATCATTAGTTCTTATACTATTCTACAAAAGATTATTAATGGTCATTTGAAATTAATATGATTAACAAGGTAAGTTATATACCAGATTTTTAACTAAGTATAGCTTCATATAACAGAATAACTATAGTTTTCTTAAGCTAAAGAATCAACAATGGGGGGAACGGGGGGATATGAGTGGGGGGGATGGGATATGGGAAGGGATAGGAAGGGGAAACAAAAGAGGAAACAACAATGCTTGATAAGAAATGTACTCATTATCTTGCCCATGTAATTGTAACTCCTTTATATGGTACTTTCATAATAAAAAATTTTTAAAAATGAGAGTAAATTGTAAAGCAAAACTCAAATAGAAATTTAAAAAAAGAATCAACAATAATTTTGAATCTATTTTTTTAAAATATACATCAAGGGCTGGGAAGGTGGCTCAATGGTAGAGTGCTCGCCTTGCACGCATGGGGGCCTGGGTTCGATTCCTCAGCACCACATAAACTGAAAAAGCTGGAAGTGGCACTGTGGATCAAGTGGTAGAGTGCTTGCCTTGAGCTGAAGAGCCAAGGTACAGCGCCCAGAGTTCAGGCCCCATGACTGACAACACACACACACACACACACACACACACACACACATGCTTGAGATAATAGTAAATTAAAATATCTCATGCGTAGTATTTGTACTACCTGTTTACTGTGATGGCTGTGGAGTTTCTTTGAGTCATTTCAGATGTTACAGGATATTTTAATTAATAATATGGAAGCACCTTATATTTCAACCTAATAATTCTTTAAATACTGCTTGTAACATATGCATTTTATCCTACTTTGCCTTTTTCCAGAACACAATAACAATATAAAGGAATTAAAGTTAGGTAGACAGTAGCTGTTTACAATGTTGAACTAGTCCCAAATACCATATAGCCTTTACTTTGTGGTGGTTTCTTCTGTGTGTGTGTAAGTGGGTATGTGTGTGTGTGTGTGTGTGTGTGTGCCATTCCTGGGATTTGAACTCAGACTCTGAGCACACAAAATTTTGCTAAATAATTCAGCATAAATTTATGTAAAAGACTAGGGAAAGTTTGGATTAATTACATTAAAAAAAAAATCAGCTCTGAGCCAGCCCAGGCTGGAAAATCCGAGTCTCTTATCTTCAATTAACCAGCTGAAAACCAGAAGTAGCACTGTGGCTCAAAGTGGAAGAGAGCTTGCCTTGAGCTGAAGAGCTCAGGGACAGTGCCCAGGCCCAGATTTCAAGCCCCACAATTGACATAAAAAAGAAAAAGAAAATCAGCCCCATAATCTAGCAAAGGAGTACAAAGGAAATAAAGTCAGTATGTGAAGAGATCTCTGTACTCCTATGTCTGTTGTAACATTCACAATAGCCAGGAAGAAAGCTGTGTGTCTGTTAACTAATGGATGCCTAAAGAAAATGTGGCAATGTGATATACCATAGACTAGTATTCAGACATAAAAGAATGACATTCTCTTATTTATGACAATGTGAATGAAAATGGAAATCATTATGCTAAGTGAAATAAACGAGGCACAGACTACATGGTTCACTCATATGTGGAATGTAAAAACAGTTGACCTCTTATAAGCTGACAAAAATTGGTAGTAATCAGAGGGGATGAAGGGATGGGGAGCAGTACATCAGTTGTTATAATCAAACAGGAGTAAGAACTTCTGGTGTGCTTTTACAGTAGGTTAATGTAGACAATGATAATGTAGGAGGATTTTGCATGTTTTCACAATAAGGAAATGGTAAGTGTTTGAAAAGATATATATATGTATAGATGTATACATATAGATCTATAGATATATCTAGAGCTATACATCTGATATATCTATAGATCTATATGTATAGATCTATACACATATATATGTATATATCTAAAGATATATATATATATATATATATATATATATATAGTGGGGTGTTGGGAGAAAGAAAGACCCTATGCTTGGGACTGTGCTGCTGCTGCTGCTGCTTCTTTCTTCTTCTTCTTCTTCTTTCTTCTTCTTCTTCTTCTTTTTGCAATAGGGTTATATTCTATTATAACTTAGGTTGCTGGCCTTTATGGCATTCTTGAGACGGTTCTTTATATCAAAAGGTCTGTTATTTTGTGAAATGTCTGTATCTGTATTCTTTTTGAGAAGATATATGACATAATTTACACATTACACAATGCAAATATATGGAAATATCACATAATAACCATGAATATGTATATAGTTTTACATTTTATATATCAGTTAAAGAAATTTAAAAATTTACAATTGCTTGAAAAACCATGCCTTGTTAATTGCTTGTTTCACATAGTAAAGCTTTATCTCATTGATACAATTATTAATCTTTTTCATTTTTCTCACAGTAATTTAATAACCCATCACACTGAAGTAGTCTAGAAAAGTTTAAAAATATTTTGTTGATGGCAGCAACTGTTAGAGGAACATAATCTAAAATCAGAAGGACTGATAAAGTTATTCAGTTTGCAAGCAGTCCTGTTCACAGGTCTACAGTGACTACCATCAGGATACATCTAGAAGGGAATAAAGAGTGCAGCCAGGCCAATTTGTTGCCTGGTAGTCATTATTATATTAGATATAGAGGAAATCAATAGAACTGGATAAGCAACAGGTAAGGAGAAAAAATGTAACAGGAAAAGCATTAGCAAGTGACCTAACAGAAAGTGATTGCTAGAGAAAATTTAAGAGGTAATCTATATTAGTAGTTCCCTTTGTGCCTATACATCTTGCTAGGCCTACTCTACATTTACGCAACTGTAAGTATGAGGTAGTGCTAAGCACTATTCTACAGCTTTACCCACACACATGCCCACACACACATCTATTTAGACAACATTATAACTATATGAATAAGGAATTAATACCTTAATTTAATGGAAAAAATGAATCAAAGGGATTAAAAATATGGCAAAAGTTATACAGCTGGAAAGTATTAAAAGCAGAATCCAAATTTGGGGGGGTTGACTAAAATATCCAGGTTCCAAAACAGTATACATGTTGTGTTAACAAATCAGCCATCTATGTTGCAAATAAATATCACAGCTAAGACAAAAACACACAGATCTCAACTCAACTCTAGGTTAAACAGTATCGTGTGTGTGTGTGTGTGTGTGTGTGTGTGTGTGTGTGTGTGTGTGAGAGAGAGAGAGAGAGAGAGAGAGAGAGAGAGAGAGAGAGAGAGAGAATATATGTATGTGTAAAATTCTGTGGTGTTAGAAATGGAACTCAGAACCTTACACATTCTAGGCAAAGGTTCTACCAAGGAGATATATTCCCAGCAAAAAAAATAATAATAATTAAATATTTATCTCAGTTGAAGTATCATTACTTTATTAAAAATACAGTTTGCCAAACATGTTGATAAACAATTCTAATTCTAGGACCTGTGAGGCAGAGAGAGAATTAAGAGAATTCTAGGCCAGACTGAGAGATGTAGAGAGTTCCAAGTCAATCTGGGCTTCTTGTCAAGATATTGTCTCAAACAACAAAAACCAATACAAAATCAAACCCACCACCCCCAACAAAAAGAAAACAGTTTGAGGAGGTAAATCACACTGTTTGCCGAGCCAGCATTGGAATCTGGGTCTCTCAACCTCTGAAATCCTGGTTATAATGCCTGTAGTTCTCTCTATGCAACTGTTTTAATGCAGAATGCATTCCTTTATAGCATTTATTTTAATCTGCAACTGATTTCTTTTAAATTCCAAATAGATTGATTTTGACATACTGAAATAATTCTCTTTTTCTGAATTATCTGTTAAAAGTCTATTTTAAGGAAATTATTAAGGCCAAGTTTTATACATAGAATGCTAAAGAACACTCTATTCTGAGGGCAAAAGACCCTGCGGGAATAATTTGTGTTTGAATTAGGATGCGTAGACTCCTCAAGGCACTCTGTAATATTCGATTTGTGACACTCTGGCTACAGTAGTAGTTTGATTCAAACCAATGACATTTAACACATTTACAAAAAAGATAATTAAAACATCAGCCAGGGAAATTAACACATATATATGAAAACTTTTTCCATTCTTTTATTTTAGCATAGTTACTATCTTTAACCTTTGGTTTGTTTATGAAAGCTAGTAAATTATGACAAAGTTATACCTTGAATAAAAGGGCTAATGTTTCAGGAAAAAATAATAATTTATAAGGTAGCATATTTCTAGAAACACATACTTACTTCTGCTTTCTTACGAGCTTCCATAGCTTTCATAAGCATCATGTGTTGTCTCCTTCTCTCCCGTTCCTATTAGGCCAGATAAAATTAGGAGCATAACTCAACCAGAGTTAAACGTTTGAGTTTCAAATGGAAAACAACAACAACAACAAAAACAAAAACTCAATATAGCATGTTTAGCATTTATAGACAAGTCACAGTAAATACTAAATATAAGACAAGAATGGCCAGTCTGTGCATGTTTTAGTTTAGGTTTAGAAAGCAAATACAAGAACAATCAAAAGCAAAAAGGTAAAGCAATGAACATGGAGACAGTGTAAACAGAAGCATACAAGATTTACTTATGGTCAGTTGTGATGCTCCTTCAAAAGCTGGCAGAACAAAAAGCATAATGGTTGGCTGGAACAGGTCAGTTACTTTACATCTGCTATTAGAGAAACCACAAATACTTACTAGAGCCAATTGAACGGAAAGTTGTATTGTGCTTACAATTTTAGATCAGGCAGAAATTGATCCATAATCATTTTCGTGTTATGGTTTTGGATTAATTAGATTTATTTCAAGTACAAAATTATTTTGAAAATCCAATGAGTCACCAACAAATTAGAAAGGTTTTTTTTTAAAGCACTGATAGCAATTTATAAAGTTAAACTAGTCTTGGTTCATGTACAAACACAAATGAACAGCGACATTCCTATTTACTGATGTCTGCCAACTGGTGTGCTGTTTAAAGTTACAAAAGTCCAGTAGGTGTAATTTAAGATGCAGAGTATGAAAATAAGAGAAGGTTAATTTGGTAATTGTATTTATTTTAAAGTTAAATATATTAATAACAATTAATTTTAGTTTTATATAATTAATTTTAATTAATTTTTAGTTTAAATACATTTGGTCCCTCAAAGGGGTATTGCTAAAATTTGTCTGTAAAACAAGAACATATTTCATATTCTCTCATCAAGCAAATTCAAAATTCCCATTATAGTCAATGGCAGTTTTGCATCTACAGTGATGGGAGAACATGGGCCATAATTGTCTAACTATATTGTGATCCAAACTTTCCTTGTGACATCAGTAATATTCAGTTTTAGACAGCAGCCTTCTTTAAGGCTTATGTAATTTAGTGAAAAATCCTAGAGACATATCATACTTCTTTATAGACAGACAAGCAGATGTATGCAATGCACTGTGCTGTAAAGCCATGCAGCAGTATGTAATATGACAGCAGCCAGTGCTAGACTTTATGCATTGCTATGACAACCATATCACAACCAAATCACAATGCGGTGTTAGATGTACAAAGATAAACATACCCATACCATATCTAGTCTATGCCTCTCCAACTCCTGGTAGAAAGAGTTGGCACAATATTATGAAACAGAAATCACAGAGTCATAAAACCAATTTTAACCCCCCCAAAAGATACCATATACCAAGCAAGGCAATAAACTGTAAGATGAAGGAAAAACTTAAGCAGGAATTTCATCAGAAAATATAAAGAAAACTTTTTAAAGATTATTCCCCAACTAGTTTTAAGCAAAATGATCAAGTACAACCATGGTATAACTAACTTCATACAGACCTGATGCTTCAGAAGGACAGCTTGTTGTCTTCTCATTTCTTTCTCCTTAAAGATAAGAAACTTTTAATATATGATTTTTAGGGAATATTTAGAACATACTCCTAAGTATTAAAAGGTTCCTTTTCCTGAGATGTTTGTAGTCTCTATTAGGTTGATCCACACAAAACTGGCACTATTCAATCGATTTTTTTTAACTTGTAAAATGTCAAGTGAATTTGTTGTAGTTCTACCTAATACTTAATATAAAACCTGTATGATATAGTAGCAAAGATCTCTCTTTAGTAGATAATTTAACCTATGAGCCACTCACTAAATTAATATTCATTAAGCTAACTAGGCTGTTGAAGCATACCAGATACAAATCACATATGAACTTTTAAATTTATTTTAGTTTCATTTGAATAAAATTATAATTGTAAATAATTTGATGCTTTATGCTGTAACTCAAAATCCAGCTGATTAGGACTCTTTTGTATTCTGAATGTAAACTATCAAATATACTCTATAGTTAACAGCATCTATTTAATTTTTATATGAAAAATAAAAGACTGGGGATTATATTAAGATTTTTATATTGACCTATGGATCATGACACAGTCCCAAGGGGATGGGGCTTAATGTAAAAAATTCTAGGATATTATCATTTACTATCTTCATAAAGTATAGATGAAATTAAAAATAAAGGTGGGCATAAAATGTGTTGTTTGGAATAAGAGAGTTTATGCCTGAGTGCAGCATCTCCAGCACTGCCCTGCCCTGCCTTCATCCACAGTAGAAGGTAAGGGCATACGGGGGAGTGATGGAACATCTTTTTTACACTTCATGGCATAAAATCAAAATCAAAACACTTAACCTTATAATAATCAGCAATGGCTAATTTCATTAGCTAAATAACAGTTGATAGGGTTTTTGTATGCATTTTTCTTTCAGTTAATTAATTTACATTTTGAAACTGTATAACCAAATGCTGGGATGATATTAACCATCATACCTGGTCTACACTTTTTCCTTTTAATACATAAAACAGTTGTTGGACATTAACAAAGGGAGAGTAATAAGGGGAGAATCAGATTTTAGACACAGTTTGAAACATAAACATAAACGACAAACAAAATAGTTTGGGCAAGGGTCATTCTAATCAAGCAAAAATTATATACAGGTATTATGCAATAATTCACATTTTTAACTTGATATCTCGTATTTACAGAGCACAAAGTATTACATAAAACCTGTATAATAAAAAAATGAAAAATATACGTACAGTATAACATACAAATAAAAGCACACATTTACACAAGTTGAATCTGCTAAATATATTTTTAAATAGTTACTGTAAGGAAAGCTACTTTATTCACACAATTGATGCTATATAACATAGTTTTTATTTTTTTTAAATAAAAACTCTGATTCTCATCTAAACTAACCTTTATTCGTTTCTCGGCTTCCAATAATTTGGCATTTGCCGCTTCTTCCTTCTTTTTCTTTTTAGCCTGTGCATGCAAAACAGGTCTCAAAGTCATGCAACAGCACCACTACAACTTGCAAATAATCTCAAGACTTGAAATGAAGCTACATGCCTTACAAGGTACAAAACAGTATGTGACATATATACAGACATGTACAGATTTCCCCCAGGTAATATATTTAACATAAAGTCATTTTATTTCTACTTTAAAGCAGTATACAAATGTCCTAAATTCAAGGAATAACTTTTCTTTTAAAGTGTTAAAAATAGGAAATAATTGAGTATACTGTTTTAGTTTCAACTTTAATCACAGAAAAAAATGAACATTATTTATTGCCTTTTATCCTGACCATAAAAATAAAAATGTAATCTCTGTAAAATAAAAGACAGGATTGAGCTTAACATTTTAAATATACAGTTTAAAATCAGTTATACATTTATAAAAATGTACATTTCTACTTTATTTTAAACTTCTTTTAATACTTGACAATTTAGATAAAGACATTCATGATTTGGATGTAATTATTAAATGAAACATTAAATCTGATTTTCTTCATCTTTCTATTTGTGGCTGCTTCATTCTTTATTTTAGTAGAATGGACATGTATGATTTTTTTGAAGTATATTTTGGCCATTAAGTCTATGTTAACATCACTCACCATCTAGTACCTTTATAACGGTCTAGTAGTATTTTTTAATTTAGTTTAAGACAGGAAAACTTTATTTGAAAGTTTGCAAATTTATTTGAAATAAGTAAGGAAGGAAAAAAATAGAAGGAAAAAAAACCATAACAGGAAACCATGACTATCTGAGGGCTTCAGGGAATAGGTATTTTATAAAGCAGACATTTCCTGAATAATTGAGGGGTCTAAAAATTTTAAACATTAAAACTTTAATTTTACTATTTTAGATGGAAATAATCTGGAGACATATGCCTGTTTAAATGCAGAATACTAAACATAATTTGGCCTTTTTTGATGACTCAGGGAAAAATTATTGTGAATACCAGTTGTTACACTGAATAATTTGATAGAGTTATGCCTTTGAACTCCTAAGGTGTTGAAAATTGCTTCCTATTCAACTAAAAGATTACAGACTCTTGCTAGGTATTGCATTTCTGTATATGCTAGCTGGAAGATTTCCCTATTTTCTGGTCTCTCTTCATGGTTACTTTGCTATTGCCAACATATGCCTTGTATCCCTAATTTTAGTCAGGTTGTGGGGAAAAAAGGGATGCTGGAAATCAGAAAACATAACTATTAAACATGTATTTGCATTAAATTTTAATTTTACTTTTGGAATATTTACTTTTATAAACACATTTTCTAAGTTAAAAGAAAATGGCTGACTGTAAGTCCTGTAAGAATAAGATTTTTAACATATGAGCTGTTATGACAACTGTACTGGCTGCTCAAAAGTTCTCATTCTATTTTTTCTGTTATCTCATTTCCTGGCATTTTACTGCTAGTATTAGAAGAGCTTGGTAAACAAGATTCAAAGAAAATGTTAGTTTAACAAGAATTTCTGATGGATATATTAATGTTATTTACACATTTAGAAAATCTTGTATTATTTTAATTATATTAAATTTATGAATTCTACCTCTAGAATTTGCTGAGCTCGAAGTTCTTTTTCCATTCTGATTTGCTGTATCCTTTTAATTTTTTCCTGTAGGAAAAATATCATTTTACATAATAAAATAAATATCTAGAAAATTAATTGAAATCAAAGAATTTAAAATATAAGCACAAAATTATCCAATGTCATCCAGGCTGAATCCCAAATTTAATTACTTATTTTAAGGCCATTTTTACTTTCATATCTTAGATTTATAGGATTTTATAAAATTTCTCATAATGCATAAAAGGTAAGTGCTAAACTAATATACAGAAGCCAGATTAAGGAAGTGGTGCTGTGGCTCAAGAGGTAGAGTGCTCGCCTTGAGCTGAAGAGCACAGGGACAGGGCCCAAGCCCATGACCGACCCTCCCCCCCCCACACACAAAAAAAAACCCAGATTAAATCACAGTTGATTAAATTTATGTATCTTGAAAAAAATTAGAACTATTAGCAGTCACAAAAAAAATCAAAATAAATAAAGGACAGATAGTAGAAAAAAGTGTCTCCAGAGTCAGAAAACATAAAGGTAATTCTGGGTTGCGGATATGTTAAATAATATAACTTTCCTTTCCCCTTCAGCTTCCCTGTCCCCTCCCCATCCTCCTTCCCTTTCCTTCCTTTCTTTCTTTCTTTTTTGGTGCTGGTCCTGGGGCTTGAACTCAGGGCCTGGATGCTGACTCTGAGAGTCTTTTTGTTCAAGGATAGAGATCTACCATTTGGGCCACTTTTAGCTTTTTGGTGATTAATTGGAGATAAGTATCAAGGATTTTCCTCTGGGCTGGCTTCAAATCATGATCCCCAGAGCTCAGCCGCCTAGATACCTAGGAGCCACCAGAGCCTGGCTTCATACAAGCTTTTCTTATATGCCATCTACCGAAAAATAATATGCAATATTTTCAGATGGATTAATTTCAATTAATAATCCAAAGAATTATTTACCTGGTATAACTGATACATACAATATCTAAATTTAATCAACTAGCTTTTGGTTGTTTGCTGTAATTTAGTAGTCACCTAAATTTAGATGTTAAATAGTTACTTTTTAAAGTCCAAAATTGACATTGATGAAAATGAATTCATAATTCTTATAAAGAAGCCCTGAAATTTCCTAATTCAAACTGTATTTTCCCTAAGATTTCCAGAGCCGTGTTTGATTCATATTTCAAGCATTTATTTGGAACTTGAGAGCTAAGAAAATATATTCCTGATCTAATATTTCTGCTCTTGACCTTTAAAAGATTTAAATGTAGTATATCCTCAAATCAGCAAAAGTCATTCATTGTTCTCTTAAGTTTGGATACAGGCAGAAAATCTTTGGGTTAAACTAATCTGGGCTTAGGTACTCTCAAACTATCAAAATGTAAGTTTACTGGTATCTGCCCTAGGCCTGGAAATTGCATATTTAGCAAAGCCTTTTATTCTATATATAACTAAAAGGTAGGGCATAAAATTAAGGCTTCCTGTTCAAAAAAGAAAAATTCGGTAGCCTATGGCTTATTTTTCAAACTTATTACATATTGTCACATAGATTTACTTCTCAGGAATGAAACATACTCATTTCTGGGAGTCACTGAAAAATTTAAATCAATTTCCTCCTTCTAGGAGGCATTCAGCTTTAAAGTAAAACATTGTCCATAAAGTGTACGTCTAAAATACAAAACAGATGTATTTAGGCTGTTTAGGATTTAGGTACTACAGATACTATAGGTACCCATAGAATATGATATTTTTGGGAATGGCAGATTGATTCACTATGCTAAATCTACAGACTTTGTATTGCCTTACTGTTTTTTTAATTCCTTAAAAAATTATCCAAATAGGGAACAGTTTTTACTTTTAGGGAATTTTTTTTTTTTACCGATTTCTCTTTGACTTCCGTTTTAGTTAAAAGAATATCTATTTTCTGATCCTAATCATATTCTGGTCCTGATCATGGCAGTGACAAGTGAATTTCTTGCCACTTGCATTTCTCATATCACTTCTTAAAACAATTTTTGTTGAAACTAAGACATTGACAAAAACATCATTAAGCTTCTTTTCGACCATACTTTATTTTAATATGAAGTTACAGGATTAGAAGACATAAGTGGGACTATCTAAATCTCTCTTCTCATTAAAAAAAATCTGAATCTCTTCATGAATGGGCAGAGAGAGAAAAAAAGGCAGGTCTGATGGAAGGAAGTCTTGAAGATTATCTAAATTTTGGTGGGCCTCCAAATCTTACCCATCCATTATCACTGTCTAAGGATTTGGAGTTGCTAGCATGACCATAGATAGTGGTCCAACTCAAAAAGTATAAAAGTTAAATAGGGACTGCCATTTTGAATCTTTACTCCCAATTCCTTCATTAGGATAGAAAAATGTTTCTTTCTCTAATTCTCTCTCCTTTAATCCTATTATACTGAAATTGACCCTTGTTAAAACTTAAGAGCTGGCTTCTAGTGGCTCACATGCTTGAGATAAATCCGAGAATCAAAGTTCAGTTCAGAGTCTGTCTAGACAAATCTCAAAACTCTTATTTCCAATTAACTGGCAAAAAGCTGGAAAATGGAAGTGCGGCTCAGGTGGTAGAATGCTGGACTGGTAGAGTGCTGGACAAGAGTAAAAAAAAGGCAAGTGAAAAAGCACAAGGCCCTAAGTTCAAGCCTCAGTATTAGGGGAAAAAATAAATAATGAAGGAAAGAAGTGAAATTGTAACTAATGGAAAACTTCAACTTTCTAAATAAGGCACAAAATATCTGTGTGAAAAATAATTAAATTAAATTGAGGCTGGGGTATGTCTCAAGTTGTAGAAAGGCAAGCAGAAGGTTCTGGGTTCATTGCCAAGTGCCACACATGCAACATAAATAAATAAGTAAAACATATATCATAATGAAAATAACATACATGAATAAGCAGATCCTTTAAAATAAACCAATGTTTTAGAAGTCAGGTCCAATGACAGCATACCTGTTGTTTCATAATCTTGATTTGTTCTTTTTGCTTTCTTTTCTCCTCGGCAGCCATTATTGCTATGACAAGAAACCAACACATACATGATATCAGATCAGCAATAAAAAAAGAGGAGTTTCTTATGAATTTTCCAACTCTTATTTTTCAAACTTATATCACTTAAATCACTTACCTTGTTGTTTTTTAGCTTCTTTGGCAACCCGAGCCTGTTCTTGTTTTTGAAGTTTTCTCAAAAGTTTTATTTGTGCTGCTTGCCTGGCTATTTCTGAAAAACACAAAATTTCAAAGAATATTACCAACAACTTTACAATAACTGTGTGAAACTGGCACTGTATCATCACAAAAGATATAATACTTAAGAAAGTTGTCTAAGTAAGAGAGTAGTAGTACAAAGTGTCATATTTATTTCCCCTAGAAATGGCTAAATTAAGTGGGTATGATGGCTCATGCCTGTAATACCAGCAACTTGACCTTGTCTCCAAAAGAAATAAAAGCAAATTGCCAAAGTATTTATTCAAATATGATCAAGAGGAGCTATACAGAGGCACATCTAAACACATTTTCACATCTCAAGAAACCTTCATTAAGAAGAAAAGTAACCACGAAAAACTAAGAATATTTTAAACAGAATTTTTGTTTTAATCATGTGTATGTGCATGTACGTGCATGAGAGAGACAAACATTGACAGCGAGAAAGAGACAGAGAGACAGTGGGATTTGAACTCAAAGCTTTAGCCTGCTAGAGAGGCTTTCTATTCCTGAGCCATTGTGTCCAGCCCTACCTTCAATTTTAAAATAAAAAGGAAAAAGATAACAAGAACAAAATCAAAACGACATGCAAAAAGAGAAAGATCTTAAAATAAAACAAAGCCCTACTGCCCAACCTATATTTCAAACATATTTAATCACTCGGGAAATTCTTGATTCCAGTGATATTTTCAGTTATGAGGAAGAGAACTAAATTTCCCAAAGTAAAAAGAATGCAGAATGTCAAATGAGTTTTAGGGGTAATACAGCTCTCATAATTTTCTAAGACAAATATATGAACCTGAAGATAGAAAGACTTAATAGTCCACATTCTTCCTTTACTCTTCCTACTGTCAGTCACTTCCAATGGGAAGACAAATTGTTCTATCCCTTGATTTTGCATTCAGCCATATAATCTTCTATAGTTAAGATATTAGCAACAGTAACAAAAAGCTTGATAATGTATGTGTACTCTTCAACCTGCCCTTTTGCCTTGCCCCGTACTAAAGGGCACACTTAGGCTAGGCTGCTAGAGATTGAGATACATGCACTCACGTGACCTCATATATTTGCACAAGCCCAGGCAAGATAAGTAAAGCTGCCTGGTGACTCAGCAGCTGAATGCATCCACACAGATGGGAAGTGCTTAAGCCACACATCACTGAGGCTTGCTATCATTCATTACCCAGCATTACTGTGAGAATGTGTATACTTGATACAGAAACCAGGTAATACTACTGCTTTTCTCTGCTGGCAGTCTTGGTCTGAATACTTCTAACTGTAAAAGTGGAGAACTATACTATCATTCAAGAAATAATTTCAGAGAGTACCACTTTACAGTAGGCAGTATTTTAAACTTTATAGGTGATGAAGAGCTTATAAACTATATCCTTTGAAAATGAGTGTATATTTCAACCACTTATTGAATGCAGGCACAATTGTATTAAATTGACATGATCTTACCTTTCACAACAACTTTATAAAATAACAACGTTATGTCCAATGTACAAGTAAAATACATAGAGCTCATGGAAGTTTAAAAGCAAAGCCACAATATATTCCCAGATCTTCCTGACACCCTTATCTATAGGCTACCACTCTAAAAATCCTTAACCAATATTTTAATCTCTGAGTATTAGCTAAAAATTTAAGAAGTGAACTTGGATACAAGGGTAATTTTTTATCCAGAAGATTTTTTTTTTAAGTAGCCCAAGCTGACTGTGAACTCATAATTATCTTGCCTCTATCTTTCAAGTGTTGGGATTAAAGGCAGGCAACACCAGGCTTACCAAAAGGGCCTAATTTTACCTGGTAAATTGAATGTGTTCATGAAAAATAAAATGAAAGCTGATGCTATAGTGTATTTCCAACTTCAAATGATTTTCCATTTACAGAGATCATGCATATCATCAAAATCTTCTTGGTTAAACAACTAAATCTATATACTAAATAGTTTAAATAATGAAAAACTATAAAGTGGCATACAGATTCAGCAATTATACCTGAAGAATATCATTCGCATCTAAAACAATGTCAGATATTCACTTGACTCTTAGAAGCCAAAAGTTTTCTCTAGACTTTGCTAAAAAGGATTCACTCTTTTTTAAAATGTGAAGATATGTTAAATGATTAGAACAAGCATTCCTAAAAATATGACCTAAGTATGATCTTTTTCACCAAGTCAAATTGTTAATCTAATAGAAGCCTGGCATTTAATAAAGAAATTCTATGTTACATAGAGGTATATTTGGCAGTATGAGTTTACTGCTCAATTTCACATGTCATACAAATATATAGTAATTTTTATTTTTAAACCATGTGAATTGGAAAACATTAAAAAGTTCGATTCATATGTTTTAGACTTTAGCAAGAAGCATACACTTTTGACTTTTAAAAATTAATACACCTTAAATTTTACACTTTGACCAATTAAGAAATCAAATCTGATATACAATCTTGAGCTGAGAAGAATGCATTATGGATGTAGCAAAGTTCACCTGGGCTCCTAGGAACAAACTACTCCCAGCATCTCTCATTTATTTAGTTTGTAGTTGCTGAATATGTCAGTTGACTTTTCAAATATTAATTTGAGAAACATCTTATGGCTTAAGAAATTCCTTGTCTGCTCTAATTTCATAGAAGTGTTTTAGATATAACTCATTCATCAGTTATAAAATCAGAATCAGCAGTACTTTCCCTTCTTAAAAGTATTTCATAAAATGGTGAACTGCATGCATTTCATGGCATTTCCAGCACTATGACACAGGAAATGGACATAGGATATGGACAGATGCTATTTGATGTTTTGGAAATGTTGAGATCTTAACACTATTGATCATTTAACAAGCAGGTTTATTTATACAGATCAAAAACCTTTATCATATCTAAACCTTGGTGGATGTTTCAATTGAGATCTTCTTAGAAATTAGAGCCCTCACTTAACAGTACTTGGGTATATACTCAAAGCACCCACTTATCTCATTCTGAACCATTTTTCAAATACAGAATTTCAGTGTAGTTGAGTCTAGTAGGATAACAGATAACAGAAACATCTAGAACCTTTGAAATAGTCCCTTAACCATTAGAAATATTTTTTTTAGAAATAAAAGTTGTAAGAGTAATTCATCCTTGTTTTCTTTCCTCTGTAAGAAAAAAAGCATGCAAACAATACTGATAAACTTGTACATATGAATGCTAATTATTAATTGCTAAACATTTACTCTTTTCTGTTGTTTATTTAAAGTGAACAGAGCTTATTTAAAAGTTAAACTGAAAGTGAAAGACAATAAACAAGAAATAGCAGACTCCCCAAGCAAGGGCTGGGGACTTCCCAGCCAGGGGAGAAATCCTTGGCTTCTTTGTCTGATGTCCCTAGTTTTCAACATTTACTCTTTATATGTATGTTGAGAAAGAACACATGTAAGGTGAAAGGTAACAAAATAGCAAGGTTAACCCATTAAAACTAGAGAGACTTAGATTTGAAAGCTAGAGGAAGAGGAAAACATTGAGTAAAGTAGATAATTAATTTTGTTACAATAAAAATGTAGTTAAATTTGCAAATATAGACTTGCCAGTTTGGATACTATATAATGGTCATTTATTTTATGAAAACAATGTTTTTAAACTTATCCATGCTTATTAACATAACCACTTTTTTTACCTTGACTAACAATCATTTAGGGGAGATTGAATTATTATAAGAAACTAAATAAAGCAACATAAAAAATGATAAAAGTCAGGCAACAGTGGCATAAGCTTGTAATTAACCACTAATTAACTACTGGAAGTGGTTCAAACACTAGCCTTGAGCAAAAAAGCTCAGGGACAGTACCCAGGCCCAGAGTTCAAATCCCAAAACAGACACGAAGGAAGGAAGGAAGGAAGGAAGGAAGGAAAGAAGGAAGGAAGGGAGGGAGGGAAGGAGGGAGGGAGGGAGGGAGGGAGGGAGGGAGGGAGGGAGGCAGGAAAGCAGGAAGGCAGGGAGGAAGGAGAGAAAGACATAAAGGCAGAAAATACTTGGAAAACATGAGCTTACATGCTAGGCAGTTAACTAACATGCTATTGGTTAAAGTATTAATTGGTGCAATATTTTTGAAGATTATATTTGCCTGCTACATACTGAAATTGGAAATGGAAATGATACATGCAGTATATGCATCATATGTACTTAGCTACATGTAATCCATGTGTATTGCACAATACTTTTGCAGTAGCAAAGATTCATAAATAGCTTAAAAGGTTATCAAAAAGATATAATTGTTGAGGTACAGTAAAGCTATACACAGGATTAGTAACTGCCCCATTGAGGAGTAAGAATGAGGTATTTTTCACTTAAAAATGTTCTGATTACATGTTATCATTGTATATAAATTAATACTTTTTTCCATTTGCAAAGGGGTAAACATACTATATTAACTATGAAAGGTCTTACCTATATGGATTTGATTTAGAATCTAATAAAGTATTCTCTAAATAATTAAAAGACATCAATAAAAAAGTTTTATGAGATTTTTTTTCTATTAGTTGTAAAATAGAAACAAAGCAGAATTAAGCCCTGGTGGCTCAAACCTATATAATCCTAGCTACTAAAAAGGCTAGATCCGAGCATTGTAATTAGAAGCCAACCTAGGCATATAAATCCCTGAAATTCTTATCTCCAATTAAGCAGCAAAAAGCTAGAACTATGAATAAGACTGTGAGGCCTGAGTTCAAGCCCAAATATGGAACAAAAACAAAATTATGAATAAAATCAAAGCAGTAACAAAGAATTCAATATTATGATGGTATTTACATGAATAGAAATATTTCAGGCATTTCTTCCAGAAAAAATTTACAAAGCAAACAAAAAACTGTCAAAAATTCCCTTAGTCTTTTAGGCCACTTCCTCATTACATACCTTTACTTTAAATCATAACATATCTACACATATATATGCTTGCAAATGTAAGACATCTAACATAGGCGATATATTCAAATAGCCTTCTGACACACTAGTAATTCAAAGTGCATAGCAGAACTATTTTTATTTTCCATAGCCTCTGTGCCACACAGAGGTACTTCATGATAATATATATATATATATATATATATATATATATATATATATATATATATATACAATTCTGAATTATACATACATTTCAGATTATTGTGAACACTTTGAGCTTGATAAATGATAAGGTCACTTTCTATAACCTTAAAGTACTTTTTGATATAAATTGATTGGTTGAACATTCTGAAAATGTTTATATATCCAGACATTAGGAGAACCCAAACTAAAAGACTGGGGTTACTTACCAGTAATTGGAGTTCTCTGACTGAAAATTTACTCCAGAGATCCACATATTTTGTAGTTATTCCCATGTACCACCTCAAGGAATCGGGAGCTGTTAAAAGGAGAATTTCCAGAAGGTTGGCACGACCTTAAGGCATGTGCCAAGTGCTGGTTGATTCCCTTTCTGTGCAAGACTTACCAGCTTAACACCCACCTTTGTAATTCTCACCCCACAGGGTAGGATGTATTTGTAAGTATGGCTCTTGATAGATTACCTAATCAAAGAACTCCAGTTACCAGTGGGACTCCTTATTTTATTCTACTTCCTCATTTATTCAACACAAATAAATACTTTTTAGAAACTGAGAGCAGTGTCCAGATTACAAGTATCAAATACATTATATATTTCTTACCTTGAGCTTGCAGTTTTCTTAGTAATTTGGCATCTGTGTTATCCAGGAATTCAGCATTGCCAACATTTGGAGGTCGACCCTTCCGACGTTTCATCCTGGATTCCTCTCTTGCTCTCTGTCTATCTGGATTTGGTGGTCTTCCCCTGCGGCCTTCCATTGCCCTGATACGAGGAATGACATCCTCTTCTTTCAAAAGACACCACTGCATTCCCTTTATTGATATTTAAGAAAAATAGCATATTACAAACAGAATTAAAAATGAGAGATCAGTATGTGAGAATATTCTTGGTAAAATCAGGTTGAAATTTGTAAAGCTTAAAATTTATAAAGCTGACAGAAACTTTGGAGATTTTACTTTTTCAGTTTAGATTTGTTACTCATAGTCTTTGGCATATCTTTAGCATTCTTAAGTAGCTTAAACTTTAATTAATTAAATGTATACAGAGAGATCTATCCATATCAAAAGTATATTGACCAAATAGTAGGTAAATATTTGAAAATATTAGTTATATGCTGACCACTTAGGGATTTTCTTAGAGATTATCAATACAACCAAACGTTAGGCTATCCAAATAAGATACGCATGTTCCTCTTTACAGAAATGTTATAGTTAATAAATAAAAACAGATTATCAGCATTTTGTAACGCCTAACAAATTAATGGATTCAAACAGAATTTGAAAGAGATTTCTATAAGCAAAATGAGAAATGAGGAAACCAATGCTAGCCTCTTAATGGAAGCCCACAGTATCACCTATAAAGTTGAATTTCCTCTACCTCCCATCAAATTAAATGTAATCAAGCCACAAGATTTAATTTCCTTCAAAGGAAAAGCAGGGTGAGAATATCTGTTAACGGTACCAGTGAAAGCCAGGAAGCTGACATCTGAGGATCATAGTTCAAAGCCAGCCTGGACAGAAGGTTCAAAGGCTCTTATCATTAACCACCAATAAGCCAGAAGAGCTGTGACTCAAGGGGAAGAATGCTAGCCTTGAGTAAAATAAGCTCAGGGATAGCTCCAAGGCGCTGAGTTCAAGCCTTAGAGTGGCACACACAAAAAAAATAATTGATTAATAGAAAAGGTAAACGTGCTGTATGAGGTTGCTGCCAGTGAATTGCGGGGCACTGTTTTATTTTTTTTGTTTTGTTTTATTTTTTTTGAATAAGAAGTACTCTTTAAAATAACAATAAAAAGTAAATATATACCAGTAACATAGTCGTATAGGATTGCCATTAAGTATCACATACTATATACAACTGAATGTGTTGTTTCATGATGATCTATGATGTTACTATGGCTACAAGGCCACTAGATGATGGGGAATTTTCAGCTCCATAATAATCTTCCGAACCACTGTCAGAAGGATGGTCCATAGATGATGGAAACTTTGTATGTAAGGTAATACTAAAGCTGAATATGAGTAGATGCTGTATCTGTTCTATTTTGCAGTTTTACTACATTATATACTTTAATTTCACAACATTGATATGATATGATTTATTGATATGATAGTATTTACTACAATTGAAAGAATCCAGTCCAGGTCCTGAATTCCAGAGTAAGCAAAAGCAATGAAGATAAATGATCCAAAACCTCAAATCAAAAATTATAATCTATACCACATGCTTTTGTTATAGATGCTCTTATTCTTAGCTGATGTTGCTAAAATATTGTTACACTGGATAAGTGACATCCATTTATCTTTGAAAGCACAGACATCATATCAATGAAAGACAATGTTAAAATATTAATATGTAGAGTCCATATTTGCTGATTGCTAATATTATTATCTATTCTTCTTTCAGTAAACTTTCTGCTAAAATAATTGTCAAAATGAATTCTGAAGGAAGGAAAAATATCCTTAGAGTTTCAATGAATAGGATCAATTTTTATATCAAATGGTTTTTTTTGTGTGTATATGTGCCTGTCCTGGCATTTGAACTCAGATTCTAAGTGCTATCCCTGAGCAATTTTGCTCAAGGCTATTGCTCTACCACTTGAGACACAGGTCCATTTCCAGCTTTTGGGGGTGGTTAATTGGAGATAAAAGTCTCACAGACTTTCATGCCTGGGTTTGCTTTGAGCATAATTCTCTGTTTTCAGCCTCTTGAATAACTAGGATTACAAGGGTGAACCACCAGCACCCAGCTTCAAATGCATTTTTAAGCCAAGAACAACTTAGTCATTAGAACGATTTTATGTTAGGAAAATTTATTCACTAGCAAACAAAGCTTTTAACTTAGCTGTTCATTTTTTCTATTATGCTATTAGGCACCAACACAGCATCTATCACAAAAATTGACAAATATAAAAAATGACATTTTAACAGAGTTGAAACTCAAATTCTCTAAACAAATATGCATTCAGTTTTTAAAGTATCATATTAATACATAAATCAATTTTTAGCCAAGATTTAAAAGCTTTCAAATCCAGATATAATTTTTACATAGTTATGTTTTTATTCAGCTAGGAACATATACTTGTGTCAAAAAAAAACATTAGAGTGACATTGTTATTTACATTTTGCCTTTGGCCTTTAGAAAGTAAATACTTTCTTAAGGGGATTGCATCTAATTGGATTAGATATACTATCTTCTAACTCTTGGGTTTTAGAAAATGAAAAAAGGAAGGTTAGGAAAATCTGAAGCTTATATTAAAACTTCAATTCATTGAGCAGACAAAATAACTGAGCTAAGAACAAATAATTCTTTTTTTCTTTTATTAAATTTTATTTTATTATAAAGATGCTGTACAGAGGGGTTACAATTACATGAGTAAGGTAATGAGTATATTTCTTGTCAGATTGGTACCCCCCTCCTTTGTTTTTTTCCTACTATCTCTTCTCTACCCTACCTCCCCCTGATAATTTTTCAGTAAACATTTTCTGAGAAAGAAAATATTTATATCACTTGGTTCATGTATGACTACCTTTTTTGAATCAAAAATTATACCAAGAGTTAACTTATTACATGAGTTTAATAAATTAGCTTATTACATGGGTTTAATTAATCTCTGGAACAGGGGGAAATGTTTACTACTTCCTTACCCTTAATTTCTAAGACTTGAGACAGTAAATGTTCAGTGGAATAATTTTCCTTGATGTAGATTTAAAAGATATGGATAGGGAGTGAAGGTTTGGCTGAAGTGGTAGAGCACTAGCCTTGAACAAAATGTCAACCAACAACAGGAGGCCCTGAATTCAAGCCCCAGTACTAGCACATATGCACCACTAGTACCAGTACCAACACCAGCACCACCAACAAAACCAAATAAACATAATGGAGATGATAAAGTATTAAGTTTGTTATATTATTATAATACTTCTCCCAGGACTTACTAATTTATATCCTGTATGTTTTAATTCATAATATTAAAATAGTAATCAAAGTTAAAAAAGAAGAGATAAATGAAAGTACATAGTAAGTCTGTAACAGATTATTTTAGAATTAATAATTTTTTTCTGGCAGTTCTAAGCTTAAACACAGCACTGTGATTGATTGTTAAGCAAGTGTCTAGCAATCTACTGCTAAGCCACACTTTCAGCATTATGTTATTGCAAATTTCCACTATTTAAATATTTGCTGGAAACCTATTATGTAAAGTTGAGCTAAAGAGAAGCCCTTCCTTAAAAGGAACAGTGTGTGTGTGTGTGTGTGTGTGTGTGTGTGTGTGTGTGTGTGCGTGCGTGTGTGTGTGTGAAATTACAATTGAATCTGGGACTTTAATTCTTGCTTAGTTTATTTGCTCCAGGCTGGCACTCTAACACTTGAACCTTGGCTCCACTTCTGACTTTTTGCTATGTAATTGGAATAAAAAGGATTTTTTGCTTGAGTTGACATCAAATCTCAATTCTTATATCTCAAACTCCTGAGGGGGTAGGATAATATGTGAAGCTACACCACCTGGCTAGGAACATTTTAAAAAATTGTGTGTGTGTGTGTGTGTGTGTGTGTGTGTGTGTGTGTGCATGTGTGTGTGCATGTGTGTGTGTGTGTGTGTGTGTGTGTGTCCTGGGCTTGAACTCGGGGCCTGGGCACTGTCCTTGAGCTTCTGCTCAAGGCTAGCACTATTTCCAGCCTGTTCTGAGTAGTTTATTGGTGATAAGAGTCTCAAGGAAATTCCTGGCTAGGCTGGCTGACCCTCACACCTCAGCCTCCTTAATAGCTAGGATTACAGGTCTGAGCCACCCTAACTTAGGAACAACATTTTAAACTATGATCTCAAGCTAAAGCTATTATAATGCAGGTGACTCAAGAACAACCCTATGAGTAGCTATGAATTGAAGAAAGAATTTACAAATTAGGATAGGAAGTTGTCTTGATCATATAAAAATTATGAGGGGCTGGGCTGGGAAAGTGGCTCAGTGGTAGAGTGCTTGCCTTGCATGCATGAGGTCCTGGGTTCTACTCCTCAGCACCACATAAGCAGAAAAAGCCAGAAGTGGCGCTGTGGCTCAAGTGGAAGAGCACTAGCCTTGAGCTGAAGAGCTGAGGGACAGTGCCCAGGCCCAGAGTTAAGACCCCATGACTGGCAAAAAAAGAAAAGAAAAGAAAAATGAAGGCCTGAATTAGGGGTTGGAGTCTGGAGGTAGAACAATTATAGATGGAAAGAAAAGTCTTTTAGACCTCCTTCAGTCTCTTTAGAAAGGAAACACACTAGAATTAAAGACTGACTGGATGTAAAAGAGAAAAGTCTGAATACAGGGTATTAAAAGTTGTCCTGGGGGACTGAAGTTAGCTTAGTGGTAGAATGCTTGCCTTGTGTGCATGAGGCCCTGGGTTCGATTCCTCAGTACCACATAAGCAGAAAAAGCCGGAAGTGGTGCTATGGCTCAAGTAGTAGAGCACTAGCCTTGAGCTGAAGAGCTGAGAGGCAGTGCCCAGGCCCAGAGTTCAGGCCCCATGACCGACCAAAAAAAAGAATGGATATTACAAAACTTGTTACATATACATTTTGTTTTCAGGTTAGAGAATTAAATAGGCTTCAGTTTTCTAAGTACTACCAAATGCTGAATTATCCTGCTTAGAAATCCTAGGGTTGGAGCCAAAAATATAAAATTTTCTGCAGAATTTCATATGTGAAATCAAACCAACATTGAAGTTCCACTTCACCCCAGTCATAATGGCTATTATGAAGAAAACTAACAATAACATATGCTAGTGGGTTGTGACCAAAAAAGAATGCTACTACATATGCTGTTGGTGGAATATA